CAGTGTTGTCCAAACTTTGTTCCGCGGCACGCTGATGTGCCGTAGAAATTTTTAAATGACGCGAGTCGCATGCTGTGTGCGATTTTTGTAATTGCTTACCCCTAAAGTGTGCCCTGGTTTAAAAATTTTGGACAACACTGCTGAAGTAGGTTGCAATTTGTTAATGTTGGGACTTTAACAATGGAAAGCAGATAGTCTTAATGCCTTCTATATATTGGTAGCACCCAAACGTAGTCTAAATATCTCGGAGGACATGTTTTACTTCTAACGTTAGTCAACGCTACACCTAGTTTTCTGCTAGACAAAGCTAAAACTATAACCTAACCTAAAAGTTATATTCAGACTTACAGACAAAACAAGCATGACTGTTACAAAAAAAAAAGAATTGATAAGAAAAGAACAATAATAAATATGGAAATGCTATGTTAATATGTGCAATTCGAGTCAATTTATGATTATTTTTAAGTATCTAAAAGCAACTGCCAAGAGCGTGAGGAATCTGCATAATACAGAAATATTTCTATCACATAAAAAAAAGAAGAAAGTCAGCTTTTAAAATGAATTTAATGAACGTAGCCATAGATCTATGCTTAATGCTTCAAATTAAAAACAATTTTCGTCTTATTAAGAAGAAGCCTATGCTGTAAATAGATGAGGATAAAGTGTGTGTGAGTGTGTGTAGGATTTAAAAGACAAAACCAGAAGAGAACAAAGATATTCAGTTATGAAGTAATTTGTATGAAAAACATATCACAATGTAAATTGTTTTACATTACAATGAGCTCAAAAAAAGGCATGGAGTTCATTTATAAACATAAAAGCTTTAAGATAAAGACAAAAATTCTCTCTGTGTTTTTGGTTTTTTGGTTTTCAAACAAGAAGAACTTTGGAAGCTTGAGAAAAAAAAAGAAATTTATTTTGAATCATTTTGCGGTTATTTTTCTCTTTGGCTGAATACAAAACTTAATGATCTAATAATGATAAAAATTTATTTCTCTGTTTTTAATTTATTTTTAAAACATTTTGCAGTTGAGCTTTTTTTTTGCTAGGGATCTAAAGCTTTTAAAGGCCTAATATAAGCACAACATTTTGCAGCTCAAACATTCATTTTAAAAGTATAATGAATGACCATGACGGATGAGTGTCTATTTGAGTCAGGATCTCAAGCAGAAAAGAGGGTAATTTTTTCTCTAAAAAAGAAATGCTCAAGGATGTTTCCGTTTCAGAAAATGGATATACTCAGAAAATAGAAAAAAAAAAATCTTTTTAAAGTTGAAACATTTATTTTTTTCTGTGTCGTGTAAATGGAACCGCATAGAACATTTTATTTCATTTCTCGAGCAATTTAGTGTAAACCACACCCGAAAAATCGATCAAAGTACTATGGTAAATGCACAGTATGTTGGCAACAGATCAGAAATTAAAAGTTGTTGTGGAAATGTTTATGTCTGTCCTCCTCTGATCTCTTTAAAATTAGTAAATTCATTCCAGGTAATCAAACTATCATCATTCTGCATCTCACACGAAGATATTCAATCTAATCGTAAGTTCATGCACACATAAAGTAACTTATTCCATATCTTAAAATCCTTGATGCTGTGAAATAATGCAATAAAATAATAAAAGTCAAAACTTCTGACACTTTCATAAATTCAAAAGATTTTTCACATTCTCGAGCATGAATGTCATGCAAATGCTAGAATGAGTCATTTATGAACTTGCATAACTAAGTGCTGTTCATAAACTTTGTGTTACAAAGTGATTAAAATTTAAATGACTGAATAAAATTTTCATGTCGCACGCTAGTAATAGAAACAGTCTCTAAGTGAAGAAGACAGCACATTACAATAAGGAACACTGGAGGCAATTCATTACAGTTGTCTCTATTGTATTTTATGCATAATTTCATCCCTCCTTCTTTCATGGAACTTAACGGCAATTAATTAAAGCCTGAAAAGCTGTTGACTACAATGTATAGGCCGACCAGCAATGAGTATTAATCCACTGTGATTTCTCCCTCTCAGATTTAGACTCTATAAGCATCAACTGCTTCTTCTTTAAAACAAAACAAACTTTTTCTCAAATGCTGTGCCACCAGAAGTGGAAACAAAACTTTCAATCGTTTCTACTCCTTTTGGCCTCTCATCAAAATTAAATGAAAAAGTTTCTTCTGGTTTCTTAAAAAAAATTTAATTTCTCCTAACGAGAAAACATTCTCAACCATTTGTTGGGACACACAAAGAAGATTCAAATAATAACACAAAAATATAATAAAAAAAAGGAAGAAAAAGAGTTCAAAAAAACTTTTTTCATTTCACAAATTAAATTCCTTTGAGAGATAAAAGAGAAAGAAAATATAGCAGCAATACAGCAATCGCTTCAAAGTATAATAGGAAGAAGATTAATTTGAACTTGTTGACGGTGTCATTAATCTCTTATCAATATATACGACTTTGCAATGGCTTAGCATTGCACTACAAATTATAATAAAATTGTGATTGACATGCTTTGTATGCACTTTGTCGTCTGAGATGACCATGAAAAGGCAAAGAAACAGAGAATGTAGGAAGATGAACAACATTTTATAGCACACAGAGTCAAGAAGCATAATGCCTGCCTACATGATTTGATCAAGTTTCAACTTGACTTGTTAATCCTTATTGCAAAGTTGTCAGTCATAAGAAATTCTCAAAATTGGCATCAATTATTTTTGTAAGAATCTCACAAAAGTGAAGAATGCTTAGTAACAAAACTCTTATTCCTCTTTTTGACTACATTTGGGTATCCTCCAACTCTACACTCATATTTCGGTTCTTAAAAGCTCTCTGCTTCCATTTCAACACGATATTTAATTGACTTTAGGAAGCTATTCGCCAATAATTGTTAAAAGTTTTAAAAACATTTCAACTTACACCGACTGAACATGGATGTGCTTCTGCACAATGATAATGAGCCACTTTTCTATATGTCGTTGTCTATACTTATACTATTATCGCTGTAAGTGCTTCTTTCTTTTGTTATCAACACACGACATTGACAAGATAGATTACAGCATAGCATTTTAAGCGCTTCTCACGATAAATTTGAGATCGAATGTAAGTTTCTCTTCGTGCAACATTTGTGGGTGTGAGGTGATAAATCTTCTTTTATTTCATAAGACATGCAAAAAGAGAAACTATCATTATTTGTAACTAAATAGTTTATTTAATAAAATCCATAAAATCTAAAATCTTCTTATTCCTTAGTCTTTATTGTGTAAGTGTTGTAACGTGAGCAACTAACGGACGGCGTGACAGTTTTTGTCAGACATCCATTTATCAACATGAATCACTTTCCACAATTTTCCTCCTCTTTTGCTAAATATTTTCACTTCTGCTTTCTTCCTTCCTTCATCAAGTCCAATTTTCCCATTCAAATAAATTCATTCAACGCTATGTTTGTCATCTAGCATTAAATGTGATTTGGAAATTAAACATTTATCATACTTTATGCTGCTTTCATGGTGAAAATGACAAAAATGTTGACAACATAGAAGATTTTATTCGCTTTTCAGCACTGTAGGAGTAGCCATAAAATTTATTCTATTTCTCTTCCTTCTTTTTTATTCTCTTTTCGTCCATGCTCTGCCTCAATATTACTGTTTTTCCATACTAAACACATTTATTTGAAAAGCATAAATTTTTCTTTACGAGGTTTCAAAACAGGAGCAGAAAAAAATGACGCAGATTGTTGAATTTCAGACCGAAAATTGCTTTTGATCTAAAAGTTCCTTAATTGAAATAAATTTATGGCAATAATTGAATTAATTCAGGAAAATGCAAAAATATATTCAATGTTCCTGATTTATCTATTTGCATCATAGATGTATGGATTCATTCGAGACAGAAATCATTTAGGTATGACATCCAATGAGTAGTTTTCTGAGTAAACGAGAAAATTATAAAAATCAAACATTATAAAAAACGTCATAAAATGATATGCAGGCATCAACTTATCTCACTCAGCCAGTCAAATTTTCATACTAAGCTTTACAAGAATTTCTTTAAAAATTTTCGAACAGTGTTGCATTCTGGCTATTTGTCTGGATCAGATAAATTCTGAGACAGAAATTTCTTCATAAAATCGATTCTACATGTAGAAAGAAAAAACCATCTACATGTAGATTGTGTCTACATGTAGAATCTGTCTACATGTAGATTCGATGTAGATGTCTACGATTCTACATTCTTCTCTGATGTAGACCTGGAAAAAATGTAGAATTATAGACAGATTCTACATGTAGACACAATCTACATGTAGATGGTTTTTTTCTTTCTACATGTAGAATCGATCTTTATGAAGAAAGTTTCTTAGCTAGACAAAAACTATTGAAGAATCTACATTCTTCATCTAGTGTAGACATCTTCATTTGCAACACTGTTTTCGAATTTCTTTCTTTTTAAAAATGAACAGAAATTTAAAAGATAAACATTCCATAATCTTTTCCTCTTTTCATGGCGATGTCAAGCTTGAAGAAACTCAAGAAATAAAGAAGATTCTGATAAAAGCCTAACAAACGACATATTAAATATATTTACTTTGCTTCTCGTCAATCTTATCAAACTCTGTTCATTCGTAAACATTCTATTTTGTCAGTAATAGGAGCTGACGATCACAACGGATGGGATGGAATTTTTGTTCTGCTCGTTTACACTAAAATTTAACAAGTTGTAAAGTATCATGAAGTAATTTGAACGATTTCTGATGTGGATTGAAGAGATTAAACAGCGTATGGATGAACAATGAAATCGTATTAAAAGTTTTACGTGCGAGTGAAAGCTTCATTTATTCTGGGAGCTTTTGTTAACATTGAAACTTTTTTCGCACAATTAAAATTCATTTTCTACGCTTTCATTGTGTGTAAAGGAAGTGATAGCATACATTTTTAATGGATTTTGTGGAATATGCTGATATCCTTAAAGGATCCATAGTTTTAAATAAAATTTGTTCTTGTAGCTTATTTTATATTAGAAATTCCAGCACATCCTTTATTAAAAAACATGCAAATTTATTTAGACAGCAAAATTAAAAATCAAACTCAAATTAAGCATCTCATTTTTTTGTAATCCGTTTGTGTAACAGATCCCTCTTGCGTTGTTAGTGCTACAGCATCATCCTATGAGGATAATAAAAGTTTTCATCATTTTTGCATTAAACATTTTTCTTCTCTTTTTTTATGAATTATTAAAAAGAAATTAAAATATTCTGTGTCCATTTGAAAAGTAAAGCAATACCTACATTAAAAATGACATTCTCTTGTCCTTCCTCGAACTGACCAAATAATTCAAAGACATCTTCATAAGGCTTCTTGTGGCCGAATTTTTCTGACATTGTTACAAAGGCATGCTTGATAGTTGCTTCTCTGTTCGGATTCACAGACTTACTAACGTATACCTGCAGATGAACACAGGAGATGAGAAAAAAAATTAAAGTTCTTTGTAAACGAACGAAATGTTATTAAAAATGACGTCTAGCTTACAGCTGTTGGTAATGTAAAGTCAAAATTGCATCGTTTAAATTCATTTAATGATCTCGTCGTCATGTCCTGGCAAATTAAAATCTTGTCTGAGTGTTTACTTAAATCTCTTGAGTTAATAACTTGTAATTCTCCATTCGGAACAGATTTAATAGTTTGAGGGCATAATTTTCCACTTTGCTTGCGTTGCTTCGTCGAAAAATGTAATGCAGCATTGATGCTTCGTAAATTGTCTGGGTCAAATTGTCTAGAAATGAGAAAATCGGAAGTGGGAGAAAATGAGTAAAAAATCGCAATAGACAAAAGTTGTGTTACGGAACATTAAAGTGCACTTCCATAAGTTATTAAAAAAATAAGGTTGCCTTTAGAAAGTGACGGCCTGTAGCCTAAGCACTTCAGTAAAAAAGAAGCTTGAGGATTCTCGTACATGTAGCTCGAAGACACATTCAACTGACATGTAGACAAAGGAAGGCAAAATTCAAACAGAACAAGCTAAAACTGCATTTGCAGTTGTGTGTCTTTTCAGTTCAATGAGCCACTTCCGAAAATACTTACAAATCAGCTTTTTTAATTTGATTGAATTCAATTCCATCGTGTGCAATCACAACATATTTGTCATTGTCATCATCATCCAATTGTTCATAAAGAATTGCCTTCAAATTGCTCAAATTATGCATCTCAAAAGTTTTTGATTGAACGACAACAGCATCAGCATTTCCTTCACTCAATGACTCTATACATTTTTCATTGTCTTTGAGAATACATTCAAAAGTTGGACGTATGTCACGAGAATATGAAACATCGCTCATTGCTTGACATTTTCTCATAGCTACATTGCTCGAAACACAAAGTTTTATTTTTTCATCATTCGAGTTTCCGTCAAGGAGCTGCCGTTCAATAACATCTGTGTATTGAGCTTTTGATAAATGATCGCCCGGAAGAATTACATTATCCTTTGGCACTACCGTGTTCTTTTCATTAACCATCATTTGTTTGGCATACTTTTTGTGTTGTGTATGATTATTTTGTGTGGAAAAATAAAGGACAAGATGAACATTATCAGTAAATTTATATTGGTTTAATACAGCAAATTCATTGGTATTATTGCAAAGCTTTTCAATTTGTAAAGGCATTACGTAGCAAATAATAGCCATTATTACATCAATTTCAAAAGCTCTGCAATAATCTTATCAAATTTATATCTTTTTAAAGAATAATAGCCAATTGCAATGTGTTAAAGTATGACTGAAATAGCTTTACAATTTCCCAGTGGATTTCTTTACTTCTTCTCATTCCCTCTTGGTTACGTAACTTTCTGTTTAAATGGATTTATGTCAGCAACACATGCATTAACTTAAGGATAATAATGCATTGTAATGCATGATATTATCTGCTGTCGTGCACAAAAGATTCATTGCTTATCAGTGTCCATGCATCTGTTACTTTGTTTTAATCAAGGAGTTATTGATAGATTGCTAAAGCATCGTTTGTAAATGATCTGCTCAAAAAGAAATTAGGTAGTAAACCCTCTACTTTATACAGGAAGACATCAATAAATAAACCACAGTCAAGCTTACTTGTTGCCATGAAAGTCTTATAAATTAAATTAGTAAGCACGTTTGGTGACAAAAAATCATCAAATAAAACAAGCTTTAAAGGTAAAAACAAAGACATTAAATGTTCACGCATTATTAGTCCTTGACGACAAAATTCCATCACATGATTCAAAAGATTTTTTTTTTATCAAAGAACTGCCATACAATTTAACCAAATGAATGATACATCAAAGTATATTTCTCGGGAGTAATTTAATACTCACAGTCATGTGATCCGTTGACTTCGCATCTTCATAAAATACTTTCAAGCGACTTTGAAGCATGTCTAGATGCTAGATGAAAGGAAGAAATGAAATAAAATATATTTTACGTGAATAATGTTTGTGACATCCTGTATGACAGCAATACAATATTCTTTTCATATTTTTATTAATTTTACCTTGTTTGTTATGTCACCATTTCCCATGTATGCTTGCCACGGACGCTGAGCCCACGTGCATGCCCTCTCGGTAATTGGAACTTTTGTAGCATCTTCACACAAATATTCATAATCATTTGGATTTGCTTGTGCTTCTGTTAATGACTCTGTGGCATGTCCAATTGGGAGCTGTGATGAATGAGAAAGAAAATTGGAATGAAAAAAAGTACATGACTGGATGTTGGATGTTGCTAGATCACTTACCCCAAAATATTTTCTAACATAAATAACTTTCGTGAAAGCCACATCGCCACCATTCTCAACCAAGCATTTAATAGCACCATCATAACCAGAAAATCTATTTTTATACAGAAAGTTTTTACGCGGTCAGTAAAACAAACCTTTTTGTCTACAAAAGAAAATTAAAATCAAGGATTAAACATACTTATCAGGATAATCACATCTTGTTGGATTTTCGCACAGTGCACAGAGGTTTGAATAACTTTTCTTCAGTTTTTCATTCACTTCATTGTTATCTGAATACTTTCCAGCAAGACATGACTGTGGAAACAGTTCTGAGAGTGCTTTCAATTCCCTTTCGACGGGTGACAGATTCACATCAGCATCAACTTTAAAAATTTCATGTCTTTTTAACTTTGTGATTGGAATTTTGTAGCCAACATTTCTTCCATAGCCTGTGTGACAAGACTTTTTCCCACGCAAATCAGACAGCGAATTTATGCCTGAATTCTTTTTTATTAAAATTATTCCTTCGTAACGGAATTCCGCTTCAATTTCTTCTTTTGTTCTTATATCCGAAAATACAGCAAAATCTTCATTCTTCTTCTTAAATGCAAGATATAAATCCTCAGGATCAACGGCCATAAAATCAGCTCCACGTCTCTCGACAATGTCCAAGCAGTCGACTCTGTCTCGTCCAGCAACACATTCAATGCTTGCAATTTCACTCCTCTTAGTCATTAATTCATTACATGCTGGAAGGATTAATGCCGGTACACAAATTTTATCTGTAGAACGGTAATAATACATTTTGTAATTAAAACTTGCACGATGAGCACAAAAATTTTCATAATTCGTTGTAAAACTCACATGTTGGCTTTTGTGCTTCTGCCAAATTTAATGCAAAAGCTATGAAAATAAATTTTAATGCTAAATTATTGCCGCTGTTGATTTTCATTCTCTTTAATTAATTGAATCGAACTGATGCACAGTCTAGCGTAAAGTCTGCTTTTATATGCAAACACATATTTATTTGTTTTAACACAATTAACAAATGAATGCATCTGCTTATTGAATGCATTGGAAATAAATAATAAAACAGAAATAAGTAACAACAATAATAATAATAATAATGAAAGCATAGTCTCTGATAAGAGAGAGAGTTTACTTTTATAGCAATTAAAATCGACGCTAAATCAGATTAAGTTTCAAAGGTTTAGCTTTCTATTTCTATATTTAATGAGAGGAGATTAAGAGCATGTTTATCAATTAGTTTCTTGAAATTTCAATTATCGCTGTTGTATCTAAGGTAGGGAGAAGGAGGTCCCAAATCCTACTCAACTAAAACATCTCATTCTGTTCAAAACTTTAATATGCTTAATGTTTTATTTAAAATTTATTAAATTCCTACCGTCGTTGAGTTGCTAAGCTACCTACAAGCCCCATTAAAGCAATTTTCTAATATCAAATTGATTTTTGATCAAAAACTTGAGAAGTTATTTTGGTTCCTTATCAAATAATATTGCATGAATCAAAAGAGATGAGTCTTGAATTTTAATTAATTTGCTTCAATTAAGAATTTTAATAACTGCAAAATCCCCGCATTTACTGCTTGTAAGGGAATTCCCAGATCAAGCTAGCTTGTACAAAGATCAGAACCAATAAGGGACTTTTTTTTCAAATAATAAAAGATTGCAAATAATTAACAAAGTCATGCGAGTAAGCTGCAATCACGTGTGACTCAATAACAAAGATTAAGTAATCAGAAACAAAAAGAGAGAAAATTGAATTTAAATTAAAATATTTTCATGTCATTGAAACGTGCTTAAGCTCTTATCAGAACTAGGTAATGTTGTTTCATTCATGTAGCATATTATTCATTCGATAAATCTACATAATCTATTATCTAACAAGAGAGTAACTTTATCCATTTATTGTATGTGCAAAAATCTTTTAGTGACATACTTGAATTTTATCTTAAAAATAATAATAATGGAAAATATTTACTAGATATACTTATATGTACGTATGTGTAAATAGGATCGATAACATGTGTTGTGCATGGATGTGGAATATATTGACAAATTAAGTTAACAAACTTTTTTCTCACAGCTTTATTTTGCTTTTCTTACTTCTTCTTCCTCAACCACCGCATCTATTTGACGTATACACACTTGAAATTTATGTAATTTGATAAACTATTCTTGTAGCATAGTAAAATCTTTTTTAGCTGTAGCTGTTTTTCTTATAGCATGAACTTTTTGTTCATCAGTCGATCTCGTTTTGCATCTCACACTCACATACGGTCTCTGTGTTTTTGTTCATGGAAAAGATTCGCGTAGTAAAGGTTCTTTTTCGTGAGATGAAAAACTTTGATATGTGAAGATGTTTTCTTTACCTTCTTCTTGTTCATCATGTACGAATGTTGTTTCAACAAGAAAAGTTTGAAGGGCACTATTCTATTCCTTTTTCATGTAAGCAAAGGAAAGCATAAGCGTAGTAAAAAATGTGTTAAGTTAAAAGTTTCATATAAACATCATTATATGTAAGCTTTCTCGAAATCCCGGTCCCGACAAATTTTCGGGATCGGGATCGGGATTGAAATTTATCGGGATTTCCCGGGAAATCCCGGGAATCCCGAATGTGTAAAAAAAATTAAAAAACAGCATTTTTCTGTTTTTTTTCCCAAAAAAAATTATATATTTTTTTGCTACTTATACGGTCATTTATTCCTTAATTAATTAGTTATACTTTATGTGTTACAAGGTAGATGTTTTAATCCATGTTTCCTTTGAAAAATGTGAACATAAACAAAAATAGAAAATAAATGTTGATAAAGATGTAAGTTAAAAGGTTATAGAAAACGGTGTGAATATAATAATAAAAATTAAGCATTAATGAAAAAACTTTTAACAAATGCAATTGCATTTAGATTCTTGTCAAGTAAACGTTTTCTTTGTTTTGTAAGAATGTTGTTACTAATAGAGAAATTTCGTTCGCTTTGAGTTGAGGTCGGCTGCATTGTTATCAATTCATCGTAAAGTTGATCTAATAAAACGGTTCTCTTATTATTTTTGATATACCAATTAAACTCTCTTTTCAAGTTATTTGGTTCTGTTGCTGCTGCATCTGTTGTTAATGATGTATATTCAGATATGCTTAGTTTCAGTCTATCTCGAATAGAAATGTTTGACGGTTGGATTTGATTTGCACTGGATGTTGAAGCTTCCATAGCTCCATTTGTAGAGTTTTTGACAAAATACTTCTTCAATAAGTCAATGCCAAGTTTATGTATTGCAGCTTTTGTTGACGATTTAAAATGCTTGTCTAAAGAAATATATTGAGGATTATTCAGGTAAAGTATTAAGTAGGGTGACCATCTGCGTAGTTTTACAACGGACAGTCCTGTATTTCAAAACCCTGTCCTGTATAAATTTGAAAACTTTGTTCCAGGTCCTGTATTTTTTTCACGAAAATTTCCGTTAATTTTTGAATTTTACTCTATGTCCTGTATTTTTCGAAAATTTTTACCTAAAGTCCTGTATTTTCATGAAAATTAGATGGTTACCCTAGTATTAAGTCAATTAATGTTCCATTTCTTCGTGCACATATGCGAGCGCAATTCATATCGTAAACCTTTTGAGACAATAATGTTTCTTGTAGCAACAATTCGTCTAGCAAAAAGTTAATTGTTCCTTCAGCAATTAATAAATCGTTTGATTTACGCAATAATTCTTCTGTCGCGTATTTAGCAGGTTCTAAAACATCAATAATTTCCTAAACTAAAAAACCGGGATTTTCAATCCCGATCCCGATAAATTTCGGGATCCCGGGATTGATCGGGATCGGTAAATCCCGGGAAATCCCGATCCCGATCCCGATAGCGAGAAAGCATAATTATATGTGGTAATGACATTATAAATGTTTTTAATCAGCACCAAGAATATTTTAATTTTATCATCATATACAGCCACATGGTGTCTCACAATTTTCTCTCCATCAAAATTCTATAATAAAAATTCTTTTCACTGCTCTAAGCTTCATTCGCATTTGTATGGAGAAAATTCCAGGGTTGTTTACTGAGCTAGTGAATCAGACGAGTTTTGAGGATATGTCCACATTAACTTATCAGTAAATCTTTCGATTTAAGATCAATGTTTGTCTTTATAAAATGAATCTGCACTATTTGTCACTCGGTTTAGTTGTAATCCACGTTTTTTCAACTCACAAATTCTAGGATCGTGAGATTTAGCTTCAAAAGCCGTCTAAGCTATGATTCATCTAATATTTTTACTTCCTGATTGTGCCCTGCTCTGATATATATCTCATTCATTACGATTTCCTGAATGATTCATGTCCTTTGACGAAATCTCTTCCTGAATATTGAAAATCGCTCAATAAGCAGCCCTGTCAATAGTAGCAGCATTCTCAAATGTTGTTATTATTATTAATAAAAAAGGCGAGAAGAGTAAAGCTGTGTGTATACGGCAAGTGAGAGAAAGAGGGAGAAAAAAATATAAATGAATGATAAGAAGAAAGAATGAAGTTTATGAGCGATAAAATATATGTAGATATGCAATAATAAACTCTTTGTGAGATGATGGAAAATACTTTAGACGCTTCCAAGCGACGACTAAGTCAATTAAAAAATGTGTTGGAGGCAAGTTTAATTATAGTGAAGAGCTTAAAGTTTATTAATCTTTTTCCTTAAAAAAATTCAATTTACAGATTTTGTGTCGTTCTACTGCTGTTGCTGCAGGAAGTAATTTGTATTAGTTCTGCTGTTGTCACAAAAAGTAATGAGAATCGTACAATCCTTGTGTGTAGTGAGTACAGTGATGAAATATTAGTTAATGAGGAACAAATTCAGAGCGAAAAATGTACATTTTCCTATGTCGATTTTGATGAGCCTAATGATGTTCAAATAGCATCTATGGTAGTTAAGAATGTTGACTATGATGATAGCGTTAATGAGATCGATGCATCAAGTCACATTACGACAGTTCATTTTGTGAATTCTCGTTTATCGAACATACCATGTCAGATCTTTAAAAAGTTTACAAATATGAAATCATTAAACTGTGATGGTGTAAATTTGAAATCACTGTCAAGAGATGACATGAAGGGTGCCTCAAATCTAAAAGAGTTTTCATGTAATTCGAACTATGTAGTTTCACTCGATTCGAAACTTTTTGAAAACAGCATCGAATTGGAAAGTATTGATATTTCAATCAACGATATTGAACGTATTGATGCAACCTCATTCAATGGATTGAGTCAGTTGAAGAAACTTCTACTCTATGACAATAAATTGAGTTCACTATCAGAGGATTTATTCAAGGATTTGATTAAACTAGAAGAAATAAATTTAAGTAACAATCAAATTGAAATAATTGAAGGGAAGCTCTTTTCAAGTTGTAAGCTATTGAAATATATTTATCTCAATGATAATCTCATCCAGAAATTAGACGAGTCAGCTTTTGTCGATATTGAGAATATTGTATTTCTTGAGATATCAAATAATAACCTTACATCACTCAAATTGAATTTATCAGCAAGTGGATTGTATGCAAATAATAATCAATTAAAGTCTATTGAGCTTGGAAGTATTGGATATTTGTCATTTTATAATAATTCTATATCCAATGTAACATTCACAATGGAAAATCATGTCTTGAGTGTGAACATGTCAACGAATAATGTGAATAAAGACTCATTGAAAGCTATAACTAGATGTGGTGCATTAAAGTCACTCGACTTATCCTTCAATAATCTCGGACAGTTAAATGTAAGCACATTTCTTGAGCTAAACGATCTGCAAATACTCAATCTGCAATCAACAAATTTATCTCGTATCGATTATGGTTTATTTCAACATCAAACAAAATTAGAGCAGATGGATATAAGCTATAATCAATTGGGCACGTCTGAAGTTTTTGATTTGAACAAATTTGCTTCCTTGAAATTACTAACTACTCTTTTTATGGAAGGCAATAATATTACAGAGTTCGAGTATGATGATATTAAGAAAGTATTCCCAAAGCTACAAACGATTGGCTATACCGATAACCCATGGAAGTGCTCATATTTAACATTAATGAATCAATTTATGGAGCATAATGGAATTGAAATTTATCAACTGGTAACAGTAAAGACAAGGTCAAATGTCGGTGGCATAGCATGTGATGGTGATGACAAGAGAGTCAATTCCAGAATGAATTATGAAGATAGATTGCGTTCAACTAATTCCATTAGACACAAACTCAATGCGAGCGATAATGAATTGTCTGTAATTTCCAAAAGGTTTGAGGAATTCATGTTGAATTTTAGCAGCAGCAGCCACAACAAAAGAAATGATGATTATGTTAGCAAGATGGATTTAATTAATGAATTAAGTATGATAAAAAGCAGCATAGCAACGCTACAAGAAAGCTTTGTGAGTATTTCAAAGCGCCTTGACAAATTGCAAACACACGATGGAGTAATTGAGGCTATTAAAACCATTCAAAATTCATCATATGATATGAAAATGATGAAAGCAAGACTTGATGGTGTCGACAAAGTACTCGGAATGTTGAACAACGCAAGCACAAAAGTGATGCTTCAACAACAAACCCTGAAAAAGCAACATCAACCAGGAGCATATGATATATCCACAACCAATACAAACGATGATTTTCTTGTCAAAGCCATGATATCTATAATATTTGTTATTGTTTGTGGCTTTGTTTTAATCTACATTATTAAATTGTTCGCTCGAAGACATCATCATCATCACAGAGATTTGAGGACATATACAGATGGGGATACCATAGATGAAAATATTATATTATAGATTTTTCCCCATCCTCTTTATTATGTTAGGGATTTTCAATGTTAGTATATTTTCGGCATCTCTCTTGTTGTTGTTTAAAGGCATAAGGGTATGGAAGATATTTCGGACCTTAATTTTAATTTCTTTGCGGTTGACCTTCAAATTTATTTTAATCTAGAATCGTTCAGTTATAAACAGCAGCACAGCCAAAAAATTTGGATGGTTCGATGGCTGTAGAAGCCTGCTTATGAATGATTCCATATGAGAATGACCGATTCATGTATCAAGGTCTGAAAAATTAAGTTCAATGAAACTTTGATAGAAAATATCGCAAAAACGACGGATTTCCCATCACTGAGATATATTTAACATTGAAAGCCCTATCTGTCTCTCTACTGCCCCAGTTATTCTCTACAATCATTGTTATCTTTTCCTTTTTTTAATAATAAAACATGAACTATACTCATATATGTTTTATGATGTTATTTGTTTCCATGTTTCTCAACCAAACGACGACAGAGATGTATACAATTTGATGTCATATATTCATATGAATACAGAATAATATGTACTAAAAACATGACAATGATGAAAATGATGAGCTGAGTAAAATAAAATAAAATGTGCAATTATATTAGAATGAGGAAAAACAATACAGCCAGTTTTGATGTATGTAGGTGAAAGATACAATGGTAAAATAAAAGATGAAAGGCTGATTAATGAATTATTTATTTATTTTGTGGATATACCGTTTATCTCCATAGAGAAATTGGCAAGCACAATGCAAGATTTGACTTTAGAAAAAAGAAGGTTAAAAATGCATGAAAAATTGGCCATGACATTTCTGTTATTTTTTTCTAAGCTCTCTTAATTATTCGGTGAACCAGCATAAAATTAAAACAGCACAGACAGCTCTCGTTGTGTCTCTGTCATTTAAAGAAAACTTTATTTTTCCACTGTGATTTCTGTTTCACAAAGAGAACATATAAATTACATTACACTTTCAAATGGATGCAAAAATGCACGGAGCAGACAACTGCTAATGAAGCCCGAATAGTTCATGACTATAGAGTGTCCACTCAAGATTCTAGAATCATAGTTCCAGCTTCCAATCAATTTAATAGAAATCAATAAAAATAACTTGACCCGATTTGACGAAGTTTAAAAATCTTGTCGAGTCAAGTCAACAACAACTATTCCCATAATAACTGATTCAACCGAAAAAAAAAATGTTAAAAAAAACTTTTTAAAAAACACGCTTTTATCAAAAAGACTAAAAATCAAAAAGTTCAAAATAAAATAAGGTCACACTTTTAGCGAATCAGGATTTTAAAATTTTCTTTTGACAACTAGAAATGTAACATAAATTTTTTTCAAAATATTGTGATTAAGTCCAAGAACACAATGACTCGAAAAGCGTGGGGCTTTGATATTTGACGCTTCTCTTACTTAAGAACTTAGTTGAATTAAGAAATTCATCCATAAATTACGCCCCACGCTTTTCGAGTCATTGTGTTCTTGACTTAATCACAATATTTTGAAAAAAATTTATGTTATATTTCTAGTTGTCACAAGAAAATTTTTAAAATCCTGATTCGCTAAAAGTGTGACCTTATTTTATTTTGAACTTTTTGATTTTTAGTCTTTTTGATAAAAGCGTGTTTTTTAAAAAGTTTTTTTTAACATTTTTTTATTTGCTACTTTTTAGTCTCAATCTTTTAATCGAATTTCGACCACAACAATTCAAATTCAACTCCACTTCGTTTCGTTCAACTTTTAATATATTCCCATTTTTTAATGGGTAATTAGTAACGACTGTCAGGATTTTTCATTCGTTTTTATAATTTAAGTCATACCTGGAAACACATAAAACTCTTCCAAAAAATGTCCTGAACTTCAATTATGTGCGTTTTCTGTGTTTTTTAAAACATTCATGAGTAAAGAACATTAAAAATCAACCGTAAAGATTTTGTGTTTATCCGTACCATTCCTATTACATAACGTGTGGATTCTTAACATAAAGATGCAAATCACATCTATATGTAACGTATTTATAACGGATTTTTCAAATTTAAATTCAATGAATGTCATTCATATGTTATGCAAAATTACGTTAAGCCGATAATAAATAGAAGTCAATTTAATTAAATTGGTGAAGTGCTATAAATATTGTAATACATTTAAAACAGCATACGTTTATGCTCAAATTATGTGTGCTAAATGCACATCACATATTGATAGTTATTTTGCATTAATTCGTAACGGACTTGTGATTAACGGTTTTTTTGAAAATTCAAATTTTCACTTACGGATATTCATGAAAAATTACTTGTCAATTTTTTCATCCTCCCAGAAAATCTTCAGCTTCTCCAATTATTAGTATTATTAATAATTAGTAATATTAATTAAACTATAGTGAATCATATAAATTACTTTTGAGCATTTCAAGTATAATATTTTAAACAAATCAAAATTTTATATCATTGACATTGGATTTTTTTCCCATATAAAAAAGTTTTATTAAAATTGTACTATAATTAAGCATTTGTGTGGTTCTAAAGTGTTAAAATATTGTATTGTCACCGGGAATACGTGTGTATACAAAATTTGAGCTCGATTGGAGCAATAGAAGTGGTCGAAAAATCGATTGCAAGATTTGAACGTGACATACAAAGAAACCAACAGAGCAACTCAATAAAAAGCGTGTAATAAAAATCAAGCCTCAACAAACAACATTTAAGCATATGACTCGGACAGAAAAAGTAGTGTGATTGACGCGACCACTGCAATTGAAATCTTAATTTACACATTAGTGACAATTCTCGTAAAATCAGTAACTTTATGCTCATCACTTGAATGTAAGTCATAAAGCTTGCTACCTTTGAACTTTTATTCATGTTCATATACATGATTTTATGTCGTACACTTAATTGCTCATCTCTACACCTACTTGACATGCTTTTTTTTTGCTCATAAAAAATGAATTATGTGAAATAAATTTATGAATTTGTGCTGCAATTATACAATGATGATGATGGTGATAATGATAATGGATAGATCATAAAAATGAAATCAATTTAATTATGATTAATATATATTTTAACATCATCACAGGCAGAGAGGGAGTTGTGCGTTAAGAGGAAGTAATAAAATGTGTGTCATAAATAATGTACATCATACATGTTTGCATGCTCGATCTATGTGATGTGTGATGATGATGGAAAAATATGGGGTCGTTCATTTATGACGTCCGAAATTAATAGTCATTTTTCAAAAAAGAACAATGGATTTCCTGGAATTTCTATTGTTCTTTTCTTGCTGACTCCCCCCCCCCCCCCCTCCCCCGAGGAAATAATAAAATAAATTCTCTTCTGAGATATTTTTCATTGACATGAAGTTGTTCCTTTCCTCCTTCATCATCAAGACTAACCGTTTATATTTCGTTTCCACCATGAGCTTCCTCAAAACGGAAATATTCTTTTCTGAAAACTTCTCACAAAGATTGATGATCAAACATTTGTCAAACCATAAATGTATTTTAAACATAAAAAGGGGATATAAAACTTTCATCATAAAATAAGCTCGCAAGAGTGGATTAGAATGCGTATTTGTTGAAATTTATGAATCATAAGACACATACGATATTTCCTTCACATTACAGTTAATTTATCAAACACAAACATTTTTCTTCGGCGTTGATTTATGCTCATTGTCATTTTTCTTGACTTGCACTTCTTAAAATTGAATGTTTAAATCAGTTTAGAATTCGTCCAACATCTGGCTTAGAATGACTTGAACTGTGGAGAGCAGAAAATTAAATTGACTAGAATTAAAGATTTTTTAGATGAGTAAATGAGAGGACATAAATGTTCTATCGCAATTAGCAAATAGCAGCTTTCAATTAAAGCAATCGAGGTTCATACAATTTAAGAGCATTTCAGCATTTCCAGTCAAGTCAACAAATAAATGAGATTCATAAAATATTGATTGAAAATTTTGCAGCAAGTCAGAATATTTAAATGCCACATGATAACAACAAATCAAAAATTAATGAACAAAATTAGCAGAATTGAATTAAAAAGCTGAATATCTGCATTCTAAGCACTCACGACTCATAAATGCTGAAATATTTGAACATTTAATTAGCTATTATTAAAACATGCCAAAAATCGAAATTCAAGCAGTGAATTACTGCAAATTAAAGTCTCTATGTTTTCATTGCACTAGTGCTTAACATTTTATGCACTAAAATAGAGCAACATCAATAAAATTTTGTTTGCTATAGCTGCAACCTAAAAATTTCAGAGGAAATAGCGCAAAAAAATCCAGAGATGTACACACAATAATACATATATCAAAAATTATGACCGGAAAGGCACTAAAATTTAAGTGCGCCAATAAAATAAAATCCTTCCCGACTACCGACTACAACTATAGATGAGGAATAACAACAACTTAATTCTACGAAAACAACATCGTGCGATTTTTCCACAAATAAACACATGCATTGACATTCATTTATATTGAATCAAACAATGCAAAGAGTCAGAAAGTTTAGCTTTATTTGAATAAATAATATTAGAAGCATACATTCAGCAACTATGTTATTTGGTGCATATCCATAGAAATAAAGGCGAATGCTAAAATGTATCTCTGCCAGCATGAAATGAATTTTACTTTAATTTTTTTAGGGGTCGTTCAACTCTTGAGTACACTTTACTGAAAGGTAATCCTAATTAGTGGTTCTGTTACCTCTTTTGACTATTTTATGATAGAAGATCAAATCAAACTTGAGTTTTCTAAATCCCGACTTAACCTTACATTCTGGTAATTCTGTGGAGAGATACAAAGAAACCCAAAAATTTTATTTTGCCCTGTGTATCAAACACCTTTCCTACGTAATTAGCTCCTGCTTTTGTCAAGCAAGCTATAAAGTACTTCCCGATTTTCACGGCCAACCCCATCATCGTATAATAACAAAGAAGTGGAGTTAAAATGAATGCGAAAATAAGCTGAAAATTTTCCAAAAAAAAAAAACAATAAAAATTCTATGGCAATGCATGCATGAGAATGCATATTATGCTGGAAAAAAAAAGTTCATCGTTATCATCATGATCGTCATCATTTGAGGGGTGTAGAATAAACAGGAGACATAAAGCTACAAAAGGATGTGTTGTGTATATAAAAATGCAAAATACATACATAACATTGAGATAGATCGAAGCATCTAGGAATGGCCATGAGAATAAACTTTCTTATATGAAATAAAATAAAATAAATGTCTCGATAAGGGAAACGAGCAAAGTTGTATATTTTATTGTGCTCAGGTGCTGCAGTCGATACAAGAAAGATAAGTTAGATGATTGGGAAAGTTTTTGGCGAGGCATGAAGTAGAAAAAAATAATGTTTCAAAGAATAATCTTCCTTAGTTGACGCTAAAATAAAAAGTTTCAGTCTTCTTTCTTATCCACTTTTATCTCCAATTGATTCAAAGTGAATTTCTTTTTATTCAATTCCATTTTAAAATTGTTTTCTCGCTCTCACTTGCTGGCTTTGGATAGCATTGTGTCTATAATAGGAAAGTTTTAGAGGGAATATAAAATTATTAAGTTTAGCACCAGTTGAGCAATTCAATTAAGATAAATTCATCCCTATTTCCTTTTTTTTCGATGCAGCTATGTGGAAAATTAAATAATAAAGTTCAGTCAAATTTTGAATAAATGCATTCACAACTTTTTCAGTTTGGAATTTACTTTACATTTGGGAATTTATATGTTTGAAACTGGATAGTGTGGAAGAGCTGATGAGCTCTGCAAATTACTTCAATTTTAATAAAGTGAAAAATGTAACGTATAATTTATTTTTGAAATTAATAATGCAAAATTCCTTAAATTAGATGAAAACAGCCGAGTTTAAGCTTTAAAGTACAAGAAGTAATAAAAAAAAAATAATTCCAAAATCATTCAAATGCAGCATTCAATTAAGCATCTTCATTTCTTGTGGCTTTTTAATTCGAAATAGATTGTTCTCATGCCAAGAACGTCAGCAAATTCAGCATAGAAGTGATAACAGTTTAGCATAAAGAAACTCCCATGTAATCATAGATTGGTCAGCATGACACAGCTCTGAAAGTTTTAGACAGATTGTTTCTTCAGTTACTTGAATGATGTCATTACCAAAATAAATTTTATCGTAAGGCTTAAGAAACTACATGCTAAGCAATTTCCAGTCAATTCATTATGTACAACAGATAATTTATTGTATTATAATATCACATTCTTCAGCAATAAAAGCAGAAACTCGAGATGAATATTAATTGCAAATCGATTTTAATGCTGCCTGATTTGTATGAATCTTGAGTATGATTCCTCGTATGAAGCAGTATGAAGATGATATGGAATATATTTCATTAAATAACATAACAATAAATCATTTGAGATAAATAAAAATATTTCAACTATTTTGAAAAAATTGAGCAGTTGGGTAAGGGGGGGGGGGGGGGTCCAGAAAAATTTAAATTTCTTTTGAGTCCAGAAAATCAGATGAAAATAAAATTCTTTAAATCGGATCCATTCCTTAATGATTCAACTTTAATTGGGGGAGGGGGGAGGAAGAAGTTCAATTTTTCAATAAACATCATTTAAGAACGAGACCCCAAAAATTTTAAAAATATTTCATTTCTTCTGTTCCTTGTAGAAAGCATCTTAAAGTCAGCTAACCGCAAAGAAACTGGAAAGTTTTGGAATTGTTGAAATGAAATATTTTCCTTCTACATACATATTCTCTCCACAATTGGCAATGCTCAGTTTCAAAAAGTTTTAGGAACTTTTAATTTGATTAATGCGGGAGCAATAAAGTCATTTAAACGGAAGAATGGAGATAGAAGAGAAGCTTTTTGTCAATTCATAATTTATGCTTTCAACTTTCTCACATTAAATTATGTATGCACACACACACACTGTATCATATGTGCAGCGCCAACTAAATTTATGGTGCATTTAAGGTTCCACATTCATTGGTTTATTAATATGATTTATGGAATCATTTATTAAAATAAATTTCACGATTTAATCAATAATAAATTTTTAATGCCTTCTAGGAAGTTCGATATCATATCATGTGAGATAACCATAATAGCATTAAGTTCTGCCGTTCTAGATTTAAGTCATTATTAATTTATGGAAGAGGTTTTTGTGTTTTTATCACTTTTATCATGTGCGATTGTTGCTAGGCAAAATCATGAATTAATTATATGCTAACATGAGTAGCATAATGATAGACTAGCAATTAAAAATGAAGAATAATGTACTGTACTTACCACAGCTTTTAATGCGATTGTTTGAGGTCTAAATTGCATCATTGATATTTCAATTTTATGGACTGCTGATAAATTGGCATTTTACACTTTGCTTCATCGACATAGTATTTAGATTTATGCCTGTTTCCGAAACAATATATTATCAGTTCTAACAATAATATTACACCACAAATCGTGATCATGCATGACTGCAATAAATTTTAATTCCAACAACATTTTAACGAACACATAAATTTCAAACATTTCCTGAATAAGAAAAATCATTTAAATTATTTTTGACGGTTTATTATTTCAAGAATGATGATTAATATAAAACGAAAAGTGTATTTAATTAGTATCCATTTGCTCGACTGCAGTTGTAGATTCTGCAACAACATCAAATGCGATCTTCTTTACAGACAAAACTCCAGTTGTTCCTCTCTTGAAAGTATAATCAACTTTTCTGACTCCCTTTTGATTTGCCAATTCATAATTACGCAAATATTCAGTATTTCCTTTACGGATAATACACAAATCTACATTTGATCCAGAACCCAAATCATTGAAGATACCAGCAGCAATTGCATCACGAACAAGCTTTTTGCCTTCTTCCTCTTCCATATCAGGCTTCCAGCGCGATTCAAATACTGACATAGCAGCTAATGATCCAGAGCCCATAGTGGCATAAGGAAGTTTATCAGTTGAACCGTGTGGATAGATACAGTAAATAGAAGGACCTTGAGCATCAACTCCGCCAAGAACTAAAGCAGCACTGACATGGCCTTGATAACGGAACAAATATTGTTTAAGAAGTGTCGATGCACAATTAACTGGAACAACTCGATTAGTGCTCAATCTATGAAGTTCCAATTGACTTGCAATCATCTTTGTTGTCATTTCTGTATCAGCAGCAGTTCCAGCACCACAGCAATACATATTCTTTGCCAGAAAATGGATCTTTTCGCAATTTTTATCACTAACGATATTTCCACTGGTTGCTCGAGTATCAGCTCCTAATATAACGCCATCCTTATAAATGATACCAACAATTGTTGTTCCAGTCTTTGTTGTTTTCGGTGCCTTAAATCCATCATTAATAAGTCGTTCATTACTGTAAATAATTTTTGTTGTTGTGTTTATGGTTAGAATGATTCGGCAAAACTTAAAATTTCAAGTAAATCTCTTACCGACGACAATTTGAGAAATTGAATCCAGGTTGTTCGATCTCGGGAGCTAACACACTATTCATTTTGAGTTTATTAATGCTTTAATTCTTAGTAATAATACGATAATTTAAGGAAAAACTTTTTTGTGTCGAATAACAAAACTTTGTTTTTGCTGAATGCTGTGCTGAATGTTTTGGAAGTTGAGGGATATTAAAAGACATGTTTTAATAGCGCGTTTGTGCAACTTCTGGTTTGGGGCCGTTCACTTATTACGTTACGCAAAAAAACGATTTTTTCACCCCCCCCTCCCCCCTTGTTACAATATGTTACAACTCACAACACCCCCCCCCCCCCCCCCCCTTGAACGTTCATAATTTATTTTATCATTAAAAAGGTGGAAAATTTAAAAAAATGGTTTTGGTGTGAAAACAAATTTTTTTCGTGAACTTTTTTAAAAGACAGACGACAGGGAGAACGTTACATACTTCTTCACCCCCCCCCCGCCCAATGTTACATTATGTTTCGATTTTTCAACCCCCCCTCCCCCCTAAAATGCGAACGTAATAAGTGAACGGTCCCTTTGTTTAATTATTTTTTCTATTCATGTTCTGAGCTTATTTAAGAATTAATGAATGTTTCATAAAATATCCGTTAAACTTTTTTTTATATTCACACCATTTTCACGTGTGAATTCACGTGTGAATCTATTGGTTTTGTTCAGATTGAAAAATCAGTTTTTGAATTTTGTGAGGATATGGAGCAAGATAGCTTAAAATGTTCAGAGATGAAAAGTTTGTGCCTTGAATTTCACATCTTTTGCAAAAAACAGATTTCAAATTGGTTTCGGCATTGCTGAGAAAATCGCAAAATACGCTTTCTGTAAGCAAGCAAACAAGCAAGTTAATCAGCAAGAAATCTCAATAACGAGACATCGTAGAGACTTCGGGTTTTTTACATTTGATCCGTGCTGCTCTATAGAAGAGCTGTATTGTTTTTAGGCAAGGTAGAAACAGCCGTTGCTTCAGAAAAAGCAAAAGACTTTCCTTTCTTACGAATTTTTCAAATTAAAAGTTCACTGTGATTTTTTTAAATTAAACTTTGGATGAAAAAAAAAATTTTAAAATCTTTCGAAGGGGCCGTTGACTTATTACGTTACGCAAAAAAACAACTTTTTTCACCCCTCCCCCCTTGTTACAACTCACAACACCCCCCCCCCCCCCCTGAACGTTCATAATTTATTTTATTTTGATAAAAAGGTGAAAAATTTAAAAAAATGGTTTTGGTTTGAAAACAAATTTTTTTCGTGAACTTTTTTTAAAAGACCCCCCCCCCTTCCTATGTTACATTATGTTACGATTTTTCAACCCCCCCCCCCCCCCCCCTAAAATGCGAACGTAATAAGTGAACGGTACCAAAGAATGTTCGTTAAGCTTTAAACCTTCAAACATAGCTAAGCGAAGCTCAGCTGACATCTAGCTTTATACCTTCAAACTTATTTCAAGCAAATCTTGGTCTATGGTCTATCCATAAGATTTTTGATGGTACGGTGTGAATATATCCGCATTAGGTTTCTACCCGATACACTAGTCGAATATTTAAAATTTGGTGATTTTTGAATTTCAACCCCTTTCAAAGGGTATTAAACTATAGATAATATTTAAATTTAAATTAACCGTTACTCAAAAAACCGTTAAATAGCTAGAAGTTAATATAATTAAATGAACTTGCAGTAGACATCACGGACGGGTATTCGACGAAACAAAAATAATAGCCGAATGAGTGAATCTCACAGAAAAAAATACATTTCAAGATCAGTACAGAAATATCGAGTCGTGGAGTAGTAATATTAAATTTTCTGTCCATAAATTAGTGAAGAACTGTAAAAGGTATATAAGCAGTGAAAATATTAGCTATTTTTATGTGTCGATAAAGAAAGATTTTTTAATGAAAAGAATTGTGCAGAGATATTTTTTTTAAATTTTTTTTTTTTTTTTTTTGAAAAAAGCAGAATGAAAAGATTGAAAATTAATTTATTAAATCACAAATTTATTTATAGAAAGGAATACATATTGTGATGATTGTTGGTGTATATAATTATCAAAGACTAGAGCAGTTGTCTCTTCATTGTGCAATACATACATTCCCTTAATTCGATTAGCAAGACAGTGTACTTACTGCCTAAAAACAGTGAACATACTTTTAGTGAAAAATCTTTTCGAGCTCTATTTGTGGAACTTTTTTTCGTGCTTAAATGGAATTAGCATAGATTTTTTTTCCACATAGCTGCGTCAACCGTTAAGGAAAATGAGCTATGTGTACATAAAGTGAATCCACTCCCTTAAAAATAATTTATGATATTCATGAGTAATTAATGGATTGAGGTCTTTTGATTAAAACTAACTTAGAACTATGTGAACTACACACATCAAAAATGCGAACAATAAAAAAGTTTAAAAAAAATTATGCAAATATTTCGGGTTCAGTACTAAATGACGTTCATGGTCGGTGAAATTGGGGGGGGGGGGGGGGGTGTAATGATATTAAAACCTATCAAAATGACGAAATTTGGGGAAATGCCTCTTTGTCTATAAGCCTGATGTCGATCATTAAGGAGGGTTAAGGGGGGGGGGGGGTATGTTAAAGCCGGTGGGTCAAAAAAAATTAAAGTGCTTGAATCTAACACCAAATGTGGAATAAATCGATAGGTTGTGACAATGTGCTAGACAAAGAGGGTTAGGGGTGTCTTAAAACCCCAATAATGAAGACCATCATTTATGAGCGATCCCTAATTGAAGAGAAAAAATAAATAGAGAATCTGAATGAATGAATAAGACCCTGCCAAACATCACACAGGCAGTCAAGAAAGATAGTTCAGTTCAGTTTTCAAAAATAGAATTCACAGAAAAAAAATATCTGCGATCAAGACACACACAACAATTTTATTTATTTATTATATTTTCCTGAAAATTTTCTCTCTCTTTTAATACATTTTCATATTCACCTACCTTTATGCATGGACTTACTATGACATTCATTGACTGCCGAAAAAAAAAACATAACAAAAAACAAAAAAAAAATGATCAGCAGTGAGGATATTTGTGTAATAAGGCATGGATTGAATTGACATCAATATTGAGCTAAATGGATTTAGCTGAACAAATTGACGATTTTATACCTTCTGTTCAAGCATCTCATTCTGACATGGATTCACTTATAATGCTTATTTTTATCCTTTTTATAACATCTCTTCTGCTCTTGTGGTTGGGTCGATTTTTATACCAGAAATATGTTACAAATAAGGCTGTGCCTTCAACAAGCAGTACCACAACATCAACAGGTTCTGTGACGTCATCAATAATTACAAAATCAACTACTCCCGTAAATTCAGCTTCTCCAATTGCTGCATCATCAAAATATAGTGCTTTTTCATTTGGCAGTAGCGGTGGTGGTGCTCGTAGAGGAAGTAGCGGTGGAACACCAATAAATCCATCGCCAATTTCAGCTAGTCCAGCAAGTCAAGGATTAGCAAAGACACGTTCATTAAGTCAACAGCCACAAATAGGACAAGGTGGAGTTAGAAAACGTCTTACACGTCGTAGTCCCGGTCCTGAAATACAGCCTAGAAGATCTAGAAGTATTCCACCACCATCATCAGTCACAGGACCTGATGATACGACAGTTCAATGGGCAAGTCAAGTCTTTAAATGGCTTTACTCTGACTTAGTCATTGTTAATGACCTCCTTTATGGATTTATCACTGCAATTAATCAAACAATGGCCCGTAATACGAGCGAAGAGAAAATTCTTATTGAAGTCGTTCGCATACTGCCAGAATCGACAACGCCAAATATTTCGAATATATTCTGTGACAAGGCAATGACAGATGCTGCCAGTGAGGTAATTTTCAACTAAACTAAGCTTTGAAATAATAAACAGACTTGATTAAACATCAAATGTATTAAATCTTTTAAACTTTTTGTATAGGTTGCGATTACAATGGATGTGGAGACGACATTAGTTCTCCAAATTAAAGCCTTTCGACAAATTTCTGGCAAGGCAGATGTCTTGCATTATCGTGCCAATCTTCGCTTTAAAGGACATTTAAGTACCACAATGAATTATACAGCATTAGTTGGTGAAATGCGTATGGAAGGATATCCTGATATTAAAATTACAATCGCATCCATAGGACCAATTAAAACAAACTCAAAAGAAGAGAAAGAGATACAAGACATGATTTGTGAAACATTAAACCTTACGATACGTGACACTTTATATCCTGTAGATTTTTCAGTTCACGCAACATGTCCACGTGCATTGAAAATGGATTCGGATGATTATTTTGACCATCCACAGCCAATAGATTTCCCAAATCCTTATGATTATATGGGAGGTGGAGGAAGGACACAGATGCAAAATACCATGTCTTATGACCAATCTTCAAGACATATGAATGCATCACCAACTATTTCTTCAGGACGACGATTATTAGTGAAAATTGTTAAAGGTGATGGATTAATGCAGGCAAAGGATCCATATTGTGTTGTAGAAATGGATGAGCCACCACAAAAAAATCAAACTGGATCTAGACAAGGATCAAGTCCATTTTGGGATGAACACTTTCTCTTTGACTTGTCAAATCTCTCATCAGAAATACTTTTTGAAGTCTACGATCGTCCAGTAAATGCAAATGAATATCCAAAATTCCTTGGACTAGGATTAGTTGGTGTCGATGAGCTAGCCGTTGGACCATCATCATCACAAGTGATTGGTCTACAACCAAGACCTTATGAGGCTGAAAATGTTACAGGTGCAATAACTGTTGAATTTGTCTTCATTGAAGGTCCACAAATTCCATCTGCTGGTCGTCGACCATATAAATTAAAGGAAGCACTTAAACTAGATCCACAAATGCAACAGCAACAACAAATGTATGGATATGAGCAGCAACAGGCTCAATCTAATATTTCACCATCTCGTGTCTCGCCAATGCTTCAACGTAATGGACAGCAAGCAAATTATCAACAGCAACAGGTGTACACGAACGGTAGCGGTTCCGGACATCATTTGGTATGTATTATGCTATGATAAATTAGTACGAAAGTCACGAGAATGTTTTGATTTGTGAGAAAATTAAATTCCTAGCTTGCCAAAAAAAAATCTGTTTCTTCATCGATCGAATGTGTAACAAGTGCCTTTATGCCACTTTTTTTTTATTTTATTTATTTATTTTTTGTCAATTTCATTATCATTGGAACTAACAAATGTAAAATGACATCATGTAACACTTCAAACATCGTTTTGTTATTTTTTTACTTCCAGAATGTGAATCCTAATCAAAGAACTACCTCACCATCTCATGATAATAATAGTAGTCTAAGACCAATAAATTATTCTAGCTCGCAAAGGCAAAGCATAAGCGTGCCAAATAGCAGCAAGCAATATCCATATGATAATAGCAGTATGACATCATCGTCGAGTCCTCAAATGCCTGCAACATCAACTCCAATTAAACCTAATACTCTTAATATTAAAATGAGCATGATTCAGCAACAGCAACAAGCTACGAATAAAGAATTATCGAATGAACCAATTTCTGGTGCTCTTTCAGACAGGGGACGTGATCGGAAGAAGACGACAATTTTTGGTACATTAAGGAAACGATTATCGAGATCAAAAACACGAAATGACGAAAATGGAACGGCACTAGCAAGCAATATGATCAACAACACGACTAATGGATACAATAGCTTAACATCACCGAATAGTTTAGACAGCAATAAAGACAACTCATTGAAAAATAATTCATTAAAATCTCCAGGAAGTACATTCTCAAGTAAAATTGGAATCTCAGGCTCATCGCGACGATCTTCAATCTCAGAAATGTCAAATATTAGTCGAATGTCCAACATTTCTAGCAAAACATTTTTACACGAGGCATCGAGTCTTGTTTTGGAAGTGATTGAGAATGGTGTCAAGAGGTGAGTTGACATTTAAACTTAATTCTGATGATAGCATGTAAATTGATGTTTGTACCTATAAAATTACAGACATTACTTAGTTCCTATGAACATTGCGCAGAAACCACGTTGGCGACGGAAGGGAACAAAACTGCATATTTATAATGATCATACCTTTGTGGCAAAGCATTTACCGAGGTAATTAATACTTTCAATTTGCTGAACTTTAAATTTTTAACTGAAATTTTGTTTTTGAATTTTTAATGGAGTTATAATTTTTGAAAACCCAAAAAATCGTTAAAAATTCAAATCTCAAAATTTCGTTATAAATTCATTGTGCAATCAATGACTAAACAAATTCATTCAAAAGTGCGCTGACTAGTCACAGAATGACAATTGAGTTGTTTTTCCATGAATGAATAAATGAATAATTTATGTGTAAATTTACTTTTAATTCCATTTACAGTGGCCTAATTTGTGAGATTTGTATGTTATCAATACCTTTTCGAATGGGAAAACAGGGATACGAGTGTCGAGATTGTTTCCTGAAATGTCACAAGCAATGTCATGTTCGTACACCACGCCTTTGTCCCAAGCCAACAATACAATCAATAGAACTGTAAGTATAACGCAATTAACTCATTTCACTTTTTATTTGATGTCATTTTGGGGGTTGTTCACTAATGATGTTCTTTATTTGGGGGGGTTCTAAGATACAAAAGAAATTTGTGATCGAGGGGGGGGGGGGGTGTCTGAAATTCAGTTTTTTATTGACGTCATAAGTGAACGATTCTTTAGGTCTGTCGTCATTTTTCAATGGAGAAATGACATAAAAATACTTGATATGACCCGCAAGCCTACATCTTTTATTGCGATAGATATTATTAAATTTATGATTTCTGAGTGATCAATGTTTTATTTTATATTTTTTATCTTTCTTTTTTTCGATTCTTCTTTCCTTATCAATTTACACGCGAAGGAGCTCTCTACCCGTTCTTAAAGATTATTAAACATAAATTGTTTACTTTATACACACATATATTATTAAAAGCCTTAAAAGTTACTGTGTTCTAATTATTCACACTTACATTACTGATTAATTTATTTATTATTTCACTCAATGGTACGTAAAAATAGGTTTTCTCTTTATTTGCTTTATTTTTGTGTTTTTATTTTCCTAAACGATAAGTGCTTTCTGCCTTGATGTCTGCTTGTGTGTTTACTATTCATACGTAACAACTTACAGAGATCATATAGTTTGGCTTAGATGAATGAAATTGATGCACGTACCCTCTTTGTTTTTGTGTCGTAGTTGATTCGCTGAGAAATATGGTCGATATCTTGAGATTTATGGGAATTTGATATTATGATCGTAATTGATTGATCTGTTGATAAACTCGAGTAGCTGTGCTCATAAATTGGAATAGCTATCAAAATTTTTCAATTAATTATTTTTAAAGATCAATATATAGATGACTGGTCAAAATTAAATAAATAAATCATTTTGTGAGGCTTTACTTTTGAACATTTACTGTTAAGATTACAGTTTCGAAGTTGTAGGTGCATAAATTTAATAATTCAAAATTAACGGTAATTTGAGATTCAATTTTTTTTTGTTCAGTAATACAAAGTTCGTTTCAGTTCAATTCATAAACATTTAAAATTCAAAAAACCGTTAATGTTATTGAACGATGCAGGCGTGAATAATTCAAAAGTGAGTCCGAAGCATGAATAAAAAAAATCCCATAAATATTTCAAGATTCCCTTTAGTTTAGTGAAACAGTATAGTATGTCCATCGTAGTTTATATCGACCAGTTTTTCCGTAGGAGCAATTTGAATATAATCCTAGAATTAACAAATTTTTTCTTCTCTTTCCTTTTTCCTTCTTATTTAACCAATTTTAGGTGCAAAATAAATTTCGAAAATGATACTGCTATACGAAAGTTGTAGATGCAAGCAAGCATAATGTTGATGTTGTAATTATTTGATACGTAGAGAAGATGAGATGACCACATGCTGTACTTGAAAAAAAAGTAATTGCCCTAGAACTATACACACATTTTATACTTAACTGAATACACAATGCGCGTGTTTTCTTAATAAGAAGTTTTTTTTTTGATTGAAACAATTTGATACATTTTTGTAATAATTAATTAATAAAATTATTACTTTACATTACAATTAATAATGCTAATTGATCATAGATCGACAAAAATTAAAGCAAAACTGATTATATATTCAATGTGACAGTGACTTACCTACTATGTGCAAGATGCTTCTACAGTCAATTTTAACACATATTTTATTATTAATATTATTATTTTAAAATTAAATTGAGCAAAAAAACACAAGAATTTTAATTTCAATTATGGTGATTAATGACAATTTAATTGTAAACGAATGTTTTGTTGGGCATTTTTATTATTATTGTTAATAATGTTAGATAAGAGAAGTTATTTGAGACATGAAAATTTATGTATATTAACTGAAATATACTCTCATTGACCACACATTAATTAGTCTCATAACTTGCAAACAAATCTCTCTGTTTTTATTACGTATTTACAATTTATAGAGTCAAGTTTGGACACTCGTGTGGATATGGATCAAGTCACGACGGCACAAAAAAAATCTTTATAAAATCAATAAAATTTGTTAAATTCGAATTCTTGCCTTTAATCCAAGGAAATTAATTTATTCCGACCAAATTCATAGCAAAACCAACACATACTCGAAATGCCAATAAATCTTTAAATCAATAAAAGTCGCGACTTGATTAAAAAATTAGAGAATTATTGATAAAATGTGAAGTATTTACTCCAAGAACGTAAACAAAAAGTCGCATGACGATCAACAGATTATTGATTCCAATTTCACATCAGTGTCCCAGTGTCGAATGATGACTTAAAGTTTCTCAATTTACATACTTAATCTTGAATAAAAGGAAAGAATTTATGGTTTTATCTCTTTTTTTGTGTTTATTCAATAAAATTTATTTCAAAAAATTCAACTTGTAATTAATTCACAAAAATCTTTCAATTTAAAACTTTTCAATTATTTATGAATGGAAAAAAAAGAAAAGATTTTCCTTGATGAAAATTCAATTTACGCTTTGTTTTTCTTATCCTTCTTTTTCTTCTTAATAGATATCGGCTCTTTTTCAGATACAGTCACTGCTGTTTCGTCGACCAAATTAGATTTTGGTTTATTTTTATTTTTAATTTTTTTCGGCTTTTCAAGTGCAGGCTGCTCAACAGATTCTTCGACTTTCGGTTCTTTGTTTACAGCCTTCTTTTTCTTTTTCTTGGCTGGCTCATCTGCAGATGCAACAGCATCGTTAATGACTTTCGGAACTGATTCTTCAGTTATGCTTGCCTTCTTCTTTTTCTTATTTTTGACAGGCTCCACAGTTGATGCCTCTGATTTTGCCTCAACTTTGTCATCCTTAACTTCAGCTGCTGCTGCCTTTTTGCCCTTGATTTTGTCAGCCTTCTTTTCTTTTTTGCCACCTACAGCTTTAGGTGTGGCTATATTCTTAACAATTTTCTTTTTTCGAATGTCAAGTTTAAGTTTCTTGGATTTTTTCTTCAATTCATCGGCCAATTTATCGAGTCTGTTTTGTTTTGCGCCTTGAATGACTGGAACTTCAACGTCATTTGGATTAATGTTTGAATAGTAAATTGGTATGGTTACTTTTGATGGTTTCATTGGCTTAAGATATAAACGAGAAATATTTTTCCAAGTTCCTGGCCATTTATCTTTTAATTGATCAATTGCTGACATAATATTATCAGCCATATCGACATTTTCCATCTTCATTGTACCGACTTCAAAGCATGACAAATTACTGGTTGAGCTTAATTTGAATGAAACTTTCTTAGTTGCATTTTCGATCGATGTCTTAAAGGATTTTTCCTTCTTCATGTCAATTTGCATTGGACGTTTACGTTTTGTAATGAAATGCTTGCCCAAAATTGCATAGACATGCTCAGCAATTTCTGATTCAACTAAGAACACGTCATAGCTATTGCAAAGTTTCAACTTCAAGTTGTTTGATTTATAGTCATCCTTAAGCTTAGAAATCGGGATTATAGTCTTTACATTTTCAATTCCTGCTTCCTTCAACTTTTCTTCGAAAGTTCTGATGTTTTCATCTTGATCAGCCTTTTTTGGAATTGAGTCCTTAATGAAGAAGCAAATATCCGGTTGCTGATCAAACAATGAGTGTTTAAGCAGTCTACAAACATTTGAAAAGTTATTAGATTAAAGATTAATTTGAATTTTAGAACCATACAAATGTTTTTGGTCAATAACATTTGTAGTTTTTTGAATTAACGACAAATTTGAATTTTAGAACCATATAAATGTTTCGAGTAAACATTTGAAATGTTTTGGAGCACAAATAGAATGAATAAGTATCACATGCTGATTTATGGAAAGCAAGCAAACGATTCTCAGTAGGAGAATGGCACGAGAAATTTCTAGCATGCTTCAGAAACACATTTTGTGAACCTGAAAATTATTCTTAAAAAATATTTTTGACTTACATTTTTCGGGTATGATTTGGACACTGAGGTATTTTAGCAGCAATAACTTGCAATCCAAGGCGTAGTTCCTCATCAAATAGATTCTTTTTATCGCTCTTCTCATTTTCCTTGTTGATTCCATCTTTTAAAGCAATAATAGCCTTTTTGACAAGTTCGCGTTTAATTAATTTATCATCGTCCTCGGACTTTTCATCTTCAGGACTTTTTGATTGATGCTCTTCTACTTCCTTTTTAATTTGCTGTAAAATCTTCAACTTCTTCCTTTTGACACTTTTCTGGCTCTTTTTTTCAGAGGCTACAACTTTTTCTATTTTATCCTTTGCCTTTAATTTTTTCTTCACTACTCCATCATTAATCGACTTCTTACGATTCTCTGGTGTCTTCTTATCAAATTCAGCTACTGGCTTTGCCTTTTTCTCGAGATTTTTAACTTTTCCCATTTTAATGATTACCGAAAATGTTTATTTTTTTTGAACATGCGTTTTTGAAGTAAGTTAAAATGTCACTGACTTAAAGTTTGTCCAAAAAATAAGTGCTTATTTTTTAACGGTTTTTAAAATTCAAATATCTTTTGTTTACAAATTACATGCTGTTTTCATCAGTTAAATTGAGTTAAATTAAAAATCATTAATTATAGTGGAATTAAGCATGGGAAAGAAAAGTAACAAAAAGGAAAGCACTGAGACAAAAGTACAGGATACACAGTTTGAGCTAGATAATGATTTCAATCAATACATCAGGGAAATATCAAGAAATCTTTATAATGAACAAAACAATGACGATGAAAGCAGAATTTTATTAATTAATAATTTTATTGAGGCAATTCCTGATAACCAGTTTGAGGCAGTAGCTCAGCATGGATTAGGATCAAAAGTTACAGACTCATTAATTGGATTTTCATCGTCAGAAAATTTTGAAAAGTTCACATCAAATTTGTCTTCAAGAAAATTGTATACAGACATTAAGTCAACTTTTGTTTTAGAGAACTGTATGCGAATTGCTACAATTAGAGCACTGGCTAATGAAAGCATCAAAGATGAGGAAACTGTTGATGATGAACCAGCTACGAAAAAGAGAAAGTTTGCTAAAAGATCAACAGATATTGAGTATAATCTAAAACTGGATGTTAAACCTGAACACATTAAATACTGCAATGATTTAGTGATGAGATTATCAAAATTTGTTTTGAACAATATTGAAGACCTACTTAAAAGTCAAGGAACTCATTTTGTAAGGACATGTCTGTTGTCACTAGCTGGAATCATTAATATTAAGTCACACGATAGAAATGCCCCAAATCAAATAAATCTAGTGACTGAATATCAGAAAACAATTAATCCAGAATGGATAGAAATTGCTTGTGACTTTGCAACAAGAATTATTCAATGGCCACAATTTGCAGACCTAGCTTTTGATGAAAAGTCCTCAACATTCTTACAGATTCTCTGTCAAGTTTTACACAATATTGGACAGCAGGATACGCTCAAGAAATTGATTAAATCAATTATGAAGAAATGTTTTATGGACGAGGACAATGACCAGGAAGAAGCTAGTGACGAGAAAAATTTTGAAATTTTAAAGCCATTCACCAACAGATCAGCTCAATTTCTTCTTGAATCAGTCATTCAATATTGTGATGAGAAGCAGTTCCTCAAGATATATAATACATATTTTAAGGATTACATTGTTCAAATGTCTGACTCAAGTTTTAACTTTACTGTTCAACGATTAATCGATGCTGTTAAGAATAAAGAAATTTATGAGGAAATATTCAATCAGTTAACTCCACAATTCGCGAATCTGCTACAAAATGGAAAGACTGGAGTCGTTTTAGCAATTTGTAAGGCATGTGATCGATTAAGCTTCAAACAAGGACAATTTATTCAGAGTTTATTGAGATGTCTCGAATGTGAAAAATCACCAAATTTTACAATTCAATGCATCACAAACTTAATGCCTTTAAAAGTTATTGAAGAAAAAACGGAAGTGGATGTGCATTTACATGGATCCTTAATCCTTCAACACATCCTTAAGTTCAATAAACCAATCAAAATTATACAAAATCTTTTGGATATGAAGCCACAGCATCTTTCAGACATTTTTTGTCATCCAAAAGGCTCAAGAATTGCCGATTCCTTTTTAGAATCAAAGTTTATTGGCGAAAAGTCACGTGAAAAATTAATAAAACATCTTGAAGGAATGTACCTAAAAATGGCACTATCAAGGAACGGATCACATGTGCTAGAAAAGCTATACAACATCTCGTCCGACAGCCAAAAAGAAGCAATTGTTAAGGAACTTTCAGAACGAATGAATCAAGTAAACAGCTCACAATCCGGAAAGATTGTTGCATACAAACTCAATGCTGAAATGTATGCACGAAACCCAAATCAATGGAGGAACTTCCTCTCAAGGTCAGCAAAATAATAAAAATAAAATCGTTAATTAAATTCTTTCAAGATTTTTATAAAATTTAAAATCAATACCTAATAAATTCATCTATCAAAACTCAATCTTTAAAGTAGAGATTAGTTCCTCAAAACAATCATGATTAGTACTTTTAGCACGAAAGGAACAAAAAATTAAAATGTTTAAGTGACAAGCAAAATTTTGAGCATTTCCAATTGATGAAAACAATAAGTTAAAGTTTAATGATGATGACATGCTGACGAGATCATTAATTAGTGCGTTTGTTGATGAACTGTATGACACCATATTGTCCAGTAGACATCCATTTATCGTCCTTTTCCCATAGTTCTTCAAACTGACCAGGTTTCAAGCCACAAATTAAATCAGCTTTGATTGTTCTCAATGAACACAAATTGGTTGGTTCAAAATTATTAAGGGCTGTACGGAAGTCATTTGTTGGATCCCAATTTACATCTCCAAGTAATTTTCGATAATTTAAATCTCCCTTAAAGATGGCTAAATGTGATTCTGCAATGCTTTGGTATAGAGTGGGTGCAATCTTTTCCATTTTATAAAATTCATAGCCGGACGTGAAAAAGTGATCAGCAGGTTCAATTAATTCAAATTGTCCATTTTTAACGTATCCACTCCATTTAAGACCAGCTTCTTTCAAAACTGGATCTTCACTTTTTTCAAGCTCTGAAAGCGTATAGTAAAAATCTTTTGGAAGTACATCCGAAATGAACCAAGGAATTGCTTTAACACGGAATCGGATCTTTTGCGCCAATTTATGATGAATAATAAAGTCACAAAGAACTAAATCACTCAACAATTCATAGCCAGAATTATCAGAAATTAAATCAATGACTTTATCTTCCTTCTCAGCATTAATGCACTTCCAAATATCTTGCGATTGATCAATCAACAAATCATTATTGTACTTCTCTATTTCCTGTAGTGGATCACAATCAATACTTTTAATCTCTTCGCCCAAAGTAATTGACAAATCATTTCTATTGCCCCACAAATCTTGTTTAAGTAGCTTACAAAAGAAATCACCAATTTCCGATGGTGTTCTAAAAACTCCGTTAAATTCGTTGACTGTTTTTATGACACGTGATATGGCATTCATTGATTTTGAAAGCTCCAATTGTTTTGATTGTTCAAAATGATCAAACTCTTTCAATGACTGAGTCTCCTCAAAAATTGATCTAAGCTTCCTGTAGACATAACATTCAGCGTACAACCAGACAGCAGTAAAGTATGTATCATTTGGACTGATTTCACGAAGTAATTTATTCCATTCGTACTGATCACTATCATTTCCAGGCAGTTCAGTCATTTGCTTATTAGTTTGTAGCTCATACTTTAATTTACCAATTTCCCCAATGCATTGCTTTAGTTCCTCACGGCTCAAATTTCCATACTTTTCAACAATTGTATCCTTTTCACGTGATAATCGATCGATAATGTTCGTTAGAATCACTGGAACTCTCTGTGACATCGTAAAAAAAGCGTAAGACCTTAAAGTAAAAATATTCAAGGATTTAGAATGTACTGTGCAGTAGTTATGAGATCGCATGCAACTTGATAGTGCTTGATAGATTATCATCCAGTATGCAGTTTCCTAATAGTAATGTCAAATTTCCAAATGCCTATAAGGGATATTCATGCATCATAAGGATTTTTTTATTTTTGTCCAATAATATTAAAATGCTATTGACTTGCTTATCACGGAGAAACTGCATACGAATGAAAATTTGTGAAAAACTTGGAATCTTCGTCTACTCACTTTTTGTAATGAGCTGATAATTGCTGGAAAACTGGAGTAGGCTCATTAGCTATATTGTATCGTGTTACATCAAATGAATCACTCATTTTAAAGCTTTAAATTATTAATTTTTATAAAAATTCTGCCTAGAAACTTTATTTTTTGGTCAACAAGAAAACCCGATCTGACTGAATTGAGCTGTTTTTACTCACTGGATGTGTAACAGATGATCGCGGGGCATTCAAATAACTGTGATTATTATTGGAATTGAAAATTATGACTGAAACGGTTCATGAATGGTGACATAATTCTAAGAAAGGTAATTAAATTAAGGAAAGGTCCAAATTTTCCATTTCAACTGTCAATTACAATTTGAATTAAAGAATAATTTGTGAGAAATTCAAAATATATTCGACCGTTTTCTCTCTGTTTCACTTTCAACTTTGTTTACCTTTTTAAAAAACAAAATTGAGCAAGCTTTATTCGATAATTCTCTTCAATTGTGTTCTTTATTTCGTTGCGAACGGTTGCTTTTACACTAAAGTGCTCCTATTCTATTGTTTTTAGTTGAAATATACAAAAAAAACTTAATTACAGTTAATAGAACAAAAAAATACGTGAAAATTTGTGTGATTTATGAAATGCAATGAGATAAAAAGTTTAAATAAATTATTAAGCATACAGCAGAAGGCTAATAAAAAGAAATATATAAAGTATATGATCAGTGAGCTAAAAATAAATATAATTTAAAAGTTTTTGGAATATTTGTTTTTTCTTCGTAAAACAATTGCTTCAATTGTGGCTTAATATCATCTCTATTAAGTACAAAACGCTAGTTTTATGCTGCATATTATACAATAAACTGCAATTTGGATAAATTACACTGAAACTATGTAAGTATCTGTGCCTTTATTCACGACATGCAAATATTCAATGGATCTTTTTGCGTATCTTTATCAATTATCATCATCTAGTTAGTGCTGTTACGAAATTGAACTCTAAAATTAAGACTCAAGCAGAAAGTATAAAGAAAATGCAGACTAAGAGACTACACTTGAATTAATATTAATATTAAAGTGGCTTTGTGTGACAATAGCTTGCCATATGAATGAATTAGACGTTATATACTTAAAGTCGTAAGCAGTGATTGACACTTTAAAATGCAAAGTAAATAATGCAGCTCAAAATGTTCTGTAAATTACGGAATAAATTGTGAATTAATATCCATAGACCGACCTTAATTGAATAATCTGATGTAATAATATGATTTTTCATTCATAAAGGTCATTTCTCTCGTACTTTGATCAATCTCGATTCTCACAATCGGAACCATCCAGAAATGAGATCAAAATTAGGGTCAATTGACGCGGAAAAGAGAAATTATAGTGAAAGAGATTTCGTGCTGAATAAGAATAGAAGGAAGGAATTACAAGACAAACCACGAAATAAGGAATTTTGTTTTTCTTTTTTTAAGTCAGTCGTCAATGCTCCACACAAATACAGAACCAAAACCTGTTTATCATCTCGCGTATCTTAATTGTTGATATTCATATATAAAAGTTTCGATATCTTTGTGTTCGTAGCTCTACGATAATTAAGCTTTTCTGTCTGTCTTATTTCCTTACGTTGCTGCTTATGAGCTAGTCATATGTTTTTTGCATCAAAAGAATTTGAGTCTATAAAAGTCATTGAGATTAGTGCTTATTGAGAAAAATTTCAATATCATTAACATTAATATTTAAGAGGGTACGGAAGATTTATGCTGGTTTTTTGAGTGCGACATAAATTGCTGCTGTACGGAACAACGACCCCTTATCTCAAAAAAAAAAATGTTGAGTATTATGTCTTAATGATCAGCTGTTGGATAGACTGATGACTTAAAAGTGAAATTCTCAAATTATTAAATATGTAGGCACGACCTTAGTCTCATAGAAATTAATTTTGATTACATTGCATGTTTTCGATCCAATCATTACTGACTTATAGATAGTTGTTCTTGAATAATTGATAGATAATAATAGTTATGAACACACGATTATACAAATAAATGTCACATGAAAATATGAAGTTATGGTTTGTGAATGTCACACGAAAGGATGAAATTCCTGCTGAACATTTCTATTTAAAAATTTAGAGCTAATGGATAGTGCATTTACATCACGGAAATATTAGTCTTATCAAGTAAAATCTACATAATTTTTGCTATCATTATCTTTTCTCATGTATGCACAGTGCTGTATTGTTTTTTATTTTTTTGTGTCAAATTTAGGTAAGGCTTTGCTATCATATTAAACGTTTCTCTTAGTGCCAAAAAACAATTTCATCGATTTTTAAAAATTCAAAATTTAACGGCTTTCAAAAATTCGAAATTGCTCAAAATCGTTCAGGAGTTTTCTAGTTCAATTCATTTCAGTTCATTTGAATTTTAATATTTCGTTACAATAGCTTTAAATAAATTTTTATTGATAAATCAAAATGCGCTTTTGCAATACTTATCTTCTTTTTCTCCCTATTATTAATATTTAAATTTTTTTGCATGACGAAACAAAAAAGTATATCGTGCTGCAACTCAATCAAAATGTTCATTGAAGTTATGCATACCCTGGTTTTTCGTTATAAGCTAGTAGCTTAGAAGAATAAAAAAGTGATTTTTTTTTGGCTTACTACTAGCTTAGTAACGAGTAGTAGCTTATAACGAAAAAAGAGGGTATGACGGTACTTTAACTTGACTTAATTGATGCAATTTCATATAAGGAAAGTCTTCTAATCATTAATTAAGTCTTTATTTCACTCCAGTAGTTCTTTTAATATGGATATGTGGGTGTATAGCTAGCATTAGACTTTCTATGCATTTCCATAATAACATGTATGAAAAGTTTCCTATTCTTTATGCTTATCAACTTTATTTATCAGACATTGCTAGTTGAATTATTTCCTACTAAACAAACAATGAGCAAGTACAGAAAACAAAATGTATTGTGTGTGTGTGTGACAAGTGACAAGCTAGCTAGTATGTAATCAAAATGAAGCAAGAAAATTTTGTGTTTTCAACGAAATTCAAAAATATAAAAAACTTTTTATTTTCATTGTCAACTGCTTTTCTCATAATTTCATTCCGGCACTGCTTGTGCGAATATTGGATTAATTTTATTTTTACAAATTTTAATGTCGAAAGCGTTGTTTTTATTTTTCGCAATTCACACAAAAAACAACGTCTTTAATATTTTAAGTAACTGTAAAATCCACTTAAACGAAATTCAATATAAGCATCGAGCATATTCGAATTGGAAAGAAATATTTAATATTCACAATTTGGTCGCGTATATGTATGTTATTATAATTATGTCCATAAGCTGCGAGTGTTTTTATAACAGCTTTTTCCCTACTACATACTTTAGAATGTTTATTGATTTTTAAAATGTCATAGACATATTAAGCACTTCTGTTAGAGAATGCGATCTAGTTCGATGGAAAATTCATTTATTTATTATCAGTCAATTATTCAATGTGATTCATAGATTCAGCTTTATCTATGGAATTTCAAGATTAAAAACAACATTGCGATTTACAAAATGATTAAATTTTTAAGAAGTTTTAACGTTTTTTATTTAAATTTTAAAACCTTACAAATGATGCATATTCAAAAACATTTGAAAGGTTTTATTATAAACAATAATGAGAATCTGAAAAATCTAAAACCGTACAAATGTTTTTTATATTTTATCCAGAAACTTTTGTATAGTTTTAGATTTTTATGAAAAATCAGCACATGAATCATTTGACTGATATGCTTAGCTTTGAAAACAATCTAGCTCATCTAATTTGATCTATCAAGGAAATAAGGTCTAAATTCTTTAAATAAAATATTGTATTAAAAACTGTATTATCAATATTAAGTTAAACATCCCTTCCTGCGTACAAATCAGTTCTAAGAATTTAAGAATCATAGAATGGGTTTTTTAGTTCTGCATGAAGTTATCTAATTGTTGTGAATAACCTTGCCAAAAGATATCCATAGTGATTCATGCACAAGAATAAAACATGCTTATTAGTAATTCTGTTGGTGCCTTTTTTTGACAGTAAAATTGCACCTGTGATGTTTGTTGTGTGAAATATAGATGTTAATCAATATATCATGCCTCAGTACTGTATTCAGAATTTCACAAGAGCCAAATGGAAACATGATACGACAATGCAATTACTGCATGAATCTAGCAAGTGCGCTAATTTGGAATGACGCAAAATATCTTGTTTTGAATATTTTCTAGTTCAAATTGCATGAAAATATGTCGTTTAATGAAAATAGAAATACAATGAATACTTAAGCATGTGTGTACGTAGATTATTATACTACACAACTAAAGACGCATATCTTATTTTTTAGACGAAGACTCAAAAGTTAAATGATGAAACAAAAATTATTAAAAAGTGCAAACAAAAACCAACAAGAAATATTGAAAGCAGGCATAAAGTGTGCCAAAAAAGTTAGCATTGCGGCATTATATCTCGCAACCCACAACATCCTGAGAGAAATTTTGAATGTTCAATAACGCAAAAAAGTAGTTTCTTTTTCTTGGAAGTCAGTCTGTGTTTCTCAATAAAATATTTATCGCCCATACATGTATGCTTAATCGACAGTTGTAGAAGTTCGAAAAGTGCGTGGGTTAAATGATGTAAGAAGATACTAAGTATGCCTCATTCTAGCTGAGGGTGAGCATTATGAAATATAGTTCCTACTTCCTTTATTATTTATCAATGTGTTATGTTTAATTGATACAGTTATAGGCTTATTATGTCTTGTTAAGTTAAAACGAATAAATATCGACGCAGGTCAGGCAATGTCGCTGATTTAACCTTGACAATGAGGAATATACGTTAAATAGCTGTGTAATAATTTTATACAATCAAAAAAAAAAAGTGGTATGTACTGTATCACATGAACGATCGACTATTTTGGTAGTTACAATAGTGAAAATTACTAAGCATTTTTTATTTATACTGTCAATCGCATAGCATTTACATGACCAAATATTTCCACGATAATTGGAAATTCCGCTTTTGGTCAACACCGTATCACGTGTCGTGAATGAGGAAAGAAAAATATTCATGCAATTTTTTTGAGTCACAGTTTTTGTGTCATTTTTTTCACAACATTAATCTGCCTGCACTCATAAAACATTTTCGTTTGTCTTTCAAAATCTTTCGGATGAGTCATCATTTTTAGCACTAATTACAATATTATATGCTATAAATGAGACAGATATACACGCTAGACAAACATCTGTGAATGTATATATGCCACATCTTCTCGTAGTAAAAATTATCTTCATGCTATAGCCGTACTTTGTGACGAAAAGAAGATATAAACATTTTGAGAATTTTAAATGACATCGTCAAGTGTTTTTCGCTTGAAAAATGATAAAAGATATTATTTACTTAATGAGTAGCTACTGTGCACTTTCATATTTTGTGAGATATTATCTTAAATTAAACTTTTTCTGATAAATAAAATTTCTTGTGTTTTAACGACTTTTTAAAATTTGAAATTGAACTGAACTGAAATGAAATCTACTGATTACTGAACGACTGAAATGAAAATTTGAAGCTTAATTGACGGTTAATTTTCTTATGAAATTCAATTCTATAGAAAATTAATGATAATACCACAACATGTGAAATATTTGCAGCCATAATTATCGGAATTGTCAACATTAATCCTTTCACATTAAAAATATATACTGAATCATTTTAAAAATAGCCAAAACAGTAATCAAGATCGATAAGTATTTGAAATCTAATTACGACTAGCACTAATCACACACTTTGAAAGTGAAACAAAATAAACAAAAAAGCAAAGAGAGAATCGTTACTCATCAGTTACTGCATAGTGTTTTTATCGGTCATGAAAGAGCTGTCGGCCGAACGGAAGCAGTCATTCAAAAATATGCGAATAACTTGTTCTGATGTAATGAATTTGTTACATATAAAGCAGTCATTGAGAGCTACTTGCTAGCTTGGGAGAGCTATGAATGAATGAATGCACTTTAGCATATGTTTCATTGTTGTTGTTTTGTTTTGTTCCTTATCAGTTATAAACAAAGCGTGATAATGTTAGTCGTAATGACTCAGGCTCAAAACTTTATTATTTGGCTATTTATGACCCAATAGTTACTTTAGACTTTTGCATGTAAATTTCAAAGGAAGTGATAACAGAATATTTGCATGACAAATCACCGAAATGGATTATTTTAAGAATCTTTGCATTGATAACCTGTTGAATATTTTAGGGCAGCTTCTATTATTCATACTTATGAATGGAAATAATTTCTCTGTTATCATTAAAATTGAATTAAATTATTCATTTAAACTTCGAGACGTCAGGAATAAATTTGCAATAAAAAACAATGAATTAGTCATCAGTAATATCAATTTTCTGTGACGATTGAAGACTACGTGAAGTTTTAAAGATTTCACAATTAAAAATATATGCCTGACAAGACAGCATAGACAGGCAGCATCTAAAATAAAAGTTCTAAATTTATCGCTCATATCTGGATGAGGCAGTCTCATGAAAAATGCTTTAATTTTCCGGTTGATCAGTTTGCATTCATGAATCATTTTACATAAACAATTCGTTCCACCTACGACGAAAGAAAATGTAGAATTAACTCTTTTCGTGGAAATTTGTTCATATTATTTTGAACAATAATGTTCCTTTCATGTGCAGTTAATTGCTGAATGGAATCTTCAAATATTATTCAATACTGTATGGTTTATGAGAGTGAGTTATTTTGTAGCATCTGGAAGGAATTAGTAATGAGATCATTTCTTCCTGGTTTTAATAATTTATGAAATTTCATCTTAAAACCATACAAATTTTTATTTTAAGAACCATTCAACAGCATTATTAATTTTTTGAAACATTTGAATAGTTTTAGAGCCATACAACAGTTGAACTAGACCAAATTTTGAAACATTTGTACTGTTTTAATTTAAAATATCATATTTTCAAACATAATTTATGAATGAATCTTATTATGCTAAAGAATGCCTTCAAATTAATGTAGATTCAAACATTTGTGCTATATCTGCGTCATTATTTGGTTTTTCACTGTCTAATTTAAATTCCAAATGTCAAGCATCTATGAACAGTTATGATCGATATAAATAAGTGTGTTCGTCACATAACGTCGTTTAAGAATTCATTGAAGAAGTACTTGGAATATTTTGGAAAATTTAAATTCACATTGATTGATATATTGGGCATATGTGAGAGAAGCTACGTCAAAGATGCTCAATCTAGCAAATTTAAATGAATGAATTTGGTCATAAAGCAAGTTTGTATAAAAACATTCAAAAACTTATTGCATCAATATGAGACTGTCAAGTCAATCAGCAAATTTTATCACAAAGTCCAAGATCTGGCCATTCCAAAGCACAAAAATAGCCTCATTGTTTAAGCATACAGTCAAAATTAAAAAATATTTATACATTCCAGATTGTATTTCTTTAATAACAAAGTTTTGTGGAATAAACAGTCTGAAAGTATTCACGCTTTCATGCTTAAAAAGACTTCATCTCTACATGCAATTGAGAGATTGTTATTGTAACTTTATACCACAAAGTTAGATTAAATTGCTTTCTTTGTCTTGCTTTATGTAAAATCACAACTCATTGTATTGTGAATGTACATAAATAAGGACTTAGCAATGTCTCTGAGAGCTTTAATATTAATTTACATAAATTAGTCATTAGATAATGTAAATTTTCTATAGGTTAAGTAGTAGCAGTGATGAGTAAAGTAAATGAACACATAGACTACTTATTTCAATAAACAGCATTACCTTCAGTGTTAACGCGTCATCAGAATTTCTTGTACTTAATTTATAAACGACAAATGCCGTGATTGCATAATAATTGGCTCATTTGTAGAACACTTCCTGATCCACTTGATTTATAAATCAGAATGACTTAATTTGCAATAATAAATTCATGCTTATCGAATTTAAAGGATGAATCATGAATAAATCATAAACAATAGTGTGAAGAATACTATATGAGCAGTTAATTACTTACTAGCACCTTATTGTTATTCTTTTAAATGATTCATATGGGATTTAATTAAATTTTCAGCGGGTAATATTTCATTCATTCACAGATTTTGTGTATTGACACTAAAAACACCTTTTCAAACTTAAATTAGAAACTGACATTAATCAAATCTAGTCACGCATCAAGACGCATTATTAAGTTTGACCCAATTATTAATCATAATGTACATTATATTTCCAGAGATTTTATAAAATCAACCTCAAATGAGAAGCACAAGATGATTGCACAATCATAGATATAAAGATTGAAACAATAAAAAGAGTGATCAGCTTAGTAGATGTAAATTAGCAGTAATGATGGATAAGTGGAAAATTGCAATTTATTTGTGCTTATTCTTGGTGGCTTTATCGCAGCTTAGTCATGCGGAAACAAAAGCTTTTATTCCTGGTGATGAACTTGAGGGTCCAAATGTATGTAAAAGAATTATTTCTCATAATGTTACGGTAGTCGTAAAAGAGATGGTTCCTTATCAAGAAAGTAAAAATGAATGGTGTGCAGCAATTCCACCAAGATGTAGAAAAACTGTAATTAGATTAAAAGAAGTAAATAAGACAGAAGTTTTAGAAAAGACACAAGCAATTAGAGAGTGCTGTGATGGATATATTGAAAATGAACAAAAGAATCGATGTATACCTTATTGTCATCAACCTTGCGGTGATCATGGAAGCTGTATATCACCCGACAACTGTAAGTGTGATTCTGGATACGGTGGGCCATCATGTGATATCACATGTCCACCTGGAAAGTATGGAAAGAACTGTAAAAACAAATGTGACTGTGCAAATGGAGCTGAATGTGATCCATATGATGGATCATGTCTTTGCAAGAAAGGCTTCCGAGGAAATAAATGTGAAAATACGTGCACATCAGATAAATATGGAGAAAAGTGCCAGGAAATATGCCGTTGTAAGAACGGAGGAGTCTGTAATCACATATCAGGTGAATGCTACTGTAAAAAAGGTTTTACTGGACCTTTGTGTGAAGAAACGTGTAAAATTGGGAAAAATGGTGATGAGTGCAAATCTATTTGCCGCTGTCAAAATAGTGGTATTTGTAATGATGATTTAAGTTGTACGTGTCCTTTTGGTTGGATTGGATCGGTTTGTGCAAATCGATGCCAACCTGGTTTTTATGGCTTAAACTGTAGTCAAGTTTGCGAATGTTTCAATGGAGCTTCTTGTGATCATGTCACAGGTATAAAAATTTTTTTTTTGCTTATTATTAGCTATTTGCTACTATGGGGCATAAATATTTAATTGCTTTTTTTATCACATATTATAGGAGCTTGTATCTGCGAGCCTGGATTCATGGGAGACAAATGCTTAGATCAATGCCCATTTAATAAATATGGCATTAATTGTACACAAGAGTGTATTTGTAGTAATGGAGCTACGTGTGATAAAGGCACTGGTTTTTGTCATTGTGCACCTGGATGGATTGGAGATGACTGCTCAGATAGGCAATGCCCAGATGATAAGTATGGAGAATCATGTAATGGAACATGCGAATGCGAAAAAGACAACACAGAATCTTGCCATCCACATGATGGAACATGCGTTTGTAAAGAAGGATGGACTGGATCAACTTGCAATCGACCATGCCCATTCCTTAAATATGGAAGATCATGTGCTTATCAATGTGATTGCAAAAATAATGCACAATGTCAGCCAACAAACGGAAAATGTATTTGTCCTCCCGGATTCAATGGCGATAAATGTGAATCAGCCTGTCCAGACGGTTCCTATGGCCAAGACTGCTCTCAAAGATGTGAATGTAAAAATAATGCTCAATGCAATTCCGAAACTGGCGAGGTAAGTGAATAGTCTGTTTATAAATAGTGGTTTCGTGCTATTATCCTTGCTTGGATAATATTAAAAACCCTTCAAATGTTTTCAAAACTTAAAAAGCCGTTAAACCCTATCAAAACCCTACAAATGTTTTCAAAATATAAAAAGCAGTTAAAAAGTAAATAATTTCACATTTTTGTTATCTTTTAGTGTTTTTGCAAGCCAGGTTGGCAGGGATTAAAATGCGAACGACCTTGTGAAGTCAATAGTTATGGTCAAGGGTGCAGAGAGAAATGTGAATGCCTTAATAATGGTGCTTGCAATCCAGTAACTGGAGAATGCCATTGTGCAATTGGATGGACTGGAAATCATTGCGAAAATAAGTGTGAAGCTTGGACTTTTGGTCAGAACTGTTCATTCGAGTGTAATTGCGAGAAACAGAATGCATTAGCATGTGATCATCAATCAGGAAGATGTTTATGTAGAACAGAACATCGAGGAAGTCAAACTATTAAGTATGCAGGCGTTAAATGTGAAAGTACATGCCCATTAGGCTATTATGGTCAAGAATGTCAACATCAATGCAATTGTAAAAATAATTCATCGTGTGATCCAGTAAGTGGTGAATGCTTCTGCGATCGTGGCTGGATGGGACGAACTTGCGATGAAAAATGTCCAAATGGATATTTCGGTCAGAATTGTAAAGAAAGATGTCCAGATAATATGCCTCCAAAAACAACATGCGATCACGTTACTGGAGATTATAAATGCCGTCCTGGATATATTGGATTAACTTGTGATCATGCTTGCAAAACTGGAACTTATGGAGAAGATTGTAAAAACGTTTGCAATTGTGTACAAGGAGAATGTCATCATGTGGACGGAATTTGTAGGTGCTTCCCAGGATGGTGGGGTGATGTTTGTGAAGAACCGTGTCCTGAAGATACTTGGGGCACTAATTGTCAACATAAATGTCAATGTGCTAATAATGCACAATGTAGAAAGACTGATGGACTTTGTATCTGCAAATCTGGTAAGAATTTGTTGATTTAAAATTAATCCTATGTTAAAACTTGGAATTTAAATTAATCTAAACCATAATAATGTATCATTTTATCGTAACTAGGTTTTATGGGTCCAAAGTGTGAAGAAGTCTGTCCTGAAGGATTTTTCGGAGATAATTGCTTACAAGTTTGTACCTGTAATCGAAAACCGAACTTTGTATGTCATCCATCGCACGGCTGTGTCTGTAAAGCAGGCTGGAGAGGCAAAAATTGTGACGAATCGATTTATTCAGCTAGTACAGCAGATCCAGAAGAAGGTAAGCATTTTATAAAGCTTTATATTTTAGGTAACAAGAATCAAATTTCATAAGAACTTAGTCAACAACTTTTTCAAGTTTTGTATAGAGCATAAGAATTTACGCGGAAGTAGTTTCCAATTATTCAATTTCCTGACTCAAATTATTGCTAAATGTTCTTAATAAGGCCGTTTAATTTGTCGTAACTGACACAAGAAATGAATTGCTTTTAATGAATGTTAGGTCATGCAATAGATATATGATAATCGTAGGAGTGATTCTAGACAGTCCATTAAACCCCAAAATTATAATTCAATCACATACTAACCATATTAAAATTCTTAAGACTTTAATTATACCGACATTTTTGCATCAACAAATAATGAAGAAAGTCAAACAGTTGATTATGAAGCAACAACTCAAAATATTAATCTAGACACAGTTTCAACTGAATTTAACAATCAGAATGAATCAAGTTTATCAGAAGAACATATAATACCTACTGTTCACAACTTTAATCAACCAGAGCCTACAAAATTCACTTTTATTGCATTGGAACCGACAACAGCAACAGTAAATGTCATGACTAAAATGTCAGCAACAAGTGGCAATATTGAAAATGCTACACAATTTACTTTTGTGCCTATAGAAACTACAAATGGCAATCAACAAACGTCATCAATGTCCACATTGTTTACTTTCGCACCAATTGACTCAAGAACAGCAACAGAGTCCATAAACAGTGGCACACATTCATCTTCTTATTATAATGTGACTACAATAGACGAAAAGCACGAACAGAAATGGGAGGCAACAACAACAACAACAGTAAATTTAGAGTCAAGTTCAATGGCAATAAACATGAATAATGAAAGTTCGTTAACATCGCAGAAATCTGGCAATGATCACGATCTTACTACAATTTATGAGCATATTAATTCTGATTTAGACACAACAACTGTTAATTCATTAGAAAATGTCATATCAACGCCTTCGTTATCTGAAAATTTTACGAGCGATTCAATGAATTTGAGCACTTCCACGAATGTTTATGATATTGATAATACGCAAAGTAATCAAGATAAATCAGGCGAAGAACACTTAACGAGTTCTATGGAAATTACAAAAGTATCAGTTCCGTATTTATTAACTACTGACTCGATTCTAATTAATTCTACTGCAATAAATCATGATCAAGATCCCAAAAGTAGTTCCAGTAATCCAAATGTTGGCATCGAAACAGACATCAATTTACAGATAAATGTTTCAACAGAAGTAGCAAATAATCCTTTAACAAGTTTCGATACAGACTACTTAAAAGATCGCAATGAAACAGCAATTTACAGCCATGAATTAAATGATACAGTACAGCCATCAATTTCAAATACCAATAATCAGATTATAAACAATACAAAAGTGAAGGTCGATGAAAGTAATGAAAAAGATTTGAGTGGAATTGAAAAGAACTCAACTGGAACTGGACCAAATGAGACAGATGTGGATGAAACGGCGCAAATGGAATTAAAGAAAGAGGATAGACATCAGCAAGGTGAATTAGAGAGGATCCGCACAGTTGTTGTTTTTTGTTTCCAGCACATGATTTGATGCAAAAAATTCTCATAAAAATTCATCCGTACACAATAATCGTATACATTAATTTAGTTCAATTTAAGCCAATCATTGTTGAGTGGTTCATAAATGACGTCTATTAACTTATGAAACTAGTAGACGTTATTGATGAAAGAACACAAGCGCATTTCCAAAAATATTTTTTGACCGTTAATTTTAAGTTTTTGCCGGCTAGTTTTGACTTAACTCTGTTTTAGGAAATGCTCTTTCATTGGTCACATGCTGACCACGATAGTATTTGTAAATTGTTTGTAAAACGTGACACTTTAATTAATTAAAAAATTGTTTCTCTCTTTCTTTTTAGTGAATCGTTCAGGAATGATTTGGGCAATTTTCTGTACGTTCTTGTTCCTTGGAATTATTGGAATGCTCCTTTTGTATTATCGAAGACGTGTAGCAAATTTGAAAGCCGAAATTGGACATGTTGTGCGGTACATGAGTGACGATCCAGGCAGAAATTTCGATAATCCTGTCTATTCTTATCAGCCAAGTGTCAATACAGACACATCAACACTTTTACATCGTAATGGAATGAATAATTTAAGACAAACAAGACCTATGAATATAGCACTTAATAATTTTGATCAAGATTCAAATTCGAGTGGAAGAGCTGCTCAATATTCATTGCAATATGATGCAGAATTAATGAATCAAAAGAATCACGAAGCTGATCAAACAAATCCCAACTTTTATTCAAGTATTGATGATCATTTATATGATGAAATTAAACTTAAGTGTGCAGATCTCGATATGGAATATGATCATTTAGATTATTCACGTCCACAACAACCAATAGTTCCGCATTATCATCGAGCAACAAGCTCAACAATGTCAACATTAAGTCAACGAAATCGTGAATCAGATCAATCGAATAATACATTTCCTAGTAATTTAGACAGCACGTATGATGCACCAGTTCCACATCCAAAAAAATTAAACATTTCAGTTCCTCCTGAATTACCTGCTAAGAATATTAACTCAAATCTAACACCATCGCCGTCATCGAGTACAGCATCGACTGTGACACAAGATGACAACATTGATGCCATTATTTCCATTGAGAAACCAATGAATAAGGATTTGAATTCTAAGCCTGATGTGATGAATCAACAGACTGATAATTAGATTGTGGATTAAGTAAAAAAAATATTATCGATGCTAAGCAGCGATACAAGGAAAAATTTGTACAAAAGCATGTGAAAAAGTCATTTATGTCCAAAAAGTTTCAATTAAATCGACAATTTTGTGCTCAAATTTTTTTACAAATACATGACAGAAAGTTTTTACGTGCTTTAAGGCAATTTTACTGATTTCTCACACAAAGATGTTCGCATTTTATTTATGAACACATTTTACAGTACTATTTTTTGCTTAGTCAAGTTCATTAACGTTAATCCTGTCTATAAATTGTGTTTTTTGTGTGTTTTAAAGTTTAACTTATAAAATTCTATTGTACAGAAGTTAAAAATATATCAGAAAAGATTAATGGATGTGCTGATAATGTCATGACAGCTGAAAATTGTCGCTAAAATGGAACCTTATAATTTCAAAAGCCACACAATTTTTTTTAAAGACGTACAATTCCAAATTTAATGATTTTTATTTTTAAAACCTTACAATTCCTGTATTGAACATTTATAAGGTTTTCAAAAGGAATTGCTGGGTTTTGAACTTAAGATTTAAATTAAACTTATCTAATCATAGATTAGCTCTAATCCGGATTTATTTTAAATCCTCAGATTTAATAATTTTTGATACTTAAATTCTAAATCAAAATGCAGCAAGTAAGAGCACCTAATAACAATCATAAGCAGCAATAATTTTATACAAATTATTAAAAAACCATTAAGTTCTGACATTAACAGCACATCCTAGAAAAAAAAATGTACACCAATAATTAGAATGTCAATCTTTATATGCCTTTCCAATGCGTATTCTCTAATATATCGATTATAGACAATAAGTAAGTCTTAGTAGTGTATATAATAATGTGATATGAAAAAAATATATATTTTTACTGCTCAATATTAACTAAATCAGTACATATCGAGTTTTAGGATGCCGGTTGAATCATGTCAAATGAAATTTTAGGCAAATTGTTACTAAAATGTTCAAAATTTATTTTTTAAAGTTAATTTTTGGGAAAAAAATTATGAGCAATAAAGTTTTATAAATAATATATTCTGATTTGCATACTTCCGTCTTGTAATCAGTTATAAACTGATTCATTTTTTGTTTACATTCAATCTTTATTTTTAATTTTAGGATTTTTTTTTCAGTCATCATCTCGCGATTGATTGAATAAGTACAACTTAATACATTTTGCGTCTTTAAAGTTTCTAGGGGGGCAATTCCACGAGTAAAGGGAACTGAGAAAAAGCAAGTTGTAATATTTTTCTACTTGTAGGAATTTGAATTTTTTTTACCGTTATAAATTTTCAAAAGATTCAAACTAATTTTCATTGCCTTGATTATTATTACGATTATTACACAAAATCATGATGTTAACATGAAAAAAAAACACATTAAATTCATTATTAACCCAATAAAATGTTATTTTTCAAAGAGAAATTATTCTTAGCAATAAATAAATTTAACGGAAATTCAAAATTCAAATATTCTGTTTATTGTTGGTTTTGGATAAAGCGCTGAAAACTTAACCGATTAACGCAGTATTTTTTAATTTTCTCTGTGAATAAAGCATTTAAGAACAGAAAAAGGGTACAAATAAGTAGAAAAAGTGAATATCTATGGCTTAAAAATATACTTGAGCACAAAAAATGGATATTTGAAGACTTTTTTAAGGATACTAGAAGCAAAATTTTCGTAAACTTAACCGATTAACGATGAAAAAACTGAATTATTTCAGTAAATAGACCTTTAAACGTTTAATTACCTATTTTAAGGGTAATTCCATGCTATAATTTTGCTATAAAATTTTCTTTAAATTGATTTTTTTCATCCTTAGGCTTTACAAAAGTTAATAAGATTTCCACAGGACATGTTAAAAGCCATAAGGTATGTTATTTGACATTAAAATGTCATCTAAAGTGATTATTAAGTCCAAAAAATTATATTTTATAGCGTTACTTGGTAACATTTATAGCGTTACCAAGTAACGCTCATGGAATCAATTTTTTGGACGAATTAACCACTTTAGATAGAAAATTAATGTCAAATCATATACCATATGACTTTTTACATGCACTGTGAAAATCTTATTAACTTTTGTAAAGCCTAAATATGAAAAAAATCAATTTTAAGTAAATTTTTTACAAAAATTTCTCATGGAATTACCCTTAAAATGAATATCTTGAGTTATTTCTAATTATAAATTTTTAAAAGAACGGAAAAAGGTGTTATTTTAAGAGTATTTTGATCAAAAAGAATTTTACTTGCATTTTTTCACTCATGGAATTGCCCAGGGATGAAAATTGTGATTTATCTGTGTTTATTTATGTTCCTTAGTGATGCAGATGATAAAATTGTCAATTCTGATGACCTTGAGGGTCCTAATGTCTGCAAAAGGGTTGTTACTGAAAACATTACAGTAATTGTGACAGAGATGGTTCCTTATCAAGAAACTAAGATTGAATGGTGTGCATCAGTTCCACCAAGATGTAGAAAAACAGTTATTAAATTAAAAGCTGTTAACAAAACAGAAGTTCTAGAAAAGACACGAACAATCCAAGAGTGCTGCAACGAATATGAGATAAAGCAAGGAACAAATCTCTGCATTCTCAAAAGAGCAAACCAAGACGAAGTTCCATTGAATAAACTTTGCAATGCTGGCTGGACAGGTGAATTTTGCCACGAGCCATGCTCTGATGGACTTTGGGGAGTAAACTGCAAAAATATTTGTAAATGTCAAAATAAATCGAAGTGTAGAAAGTATGACGGTCGATGTCTGTGCGAATTTGGTAACATGCTTCTCATTGAGACATCCACGCCTATGTAATTAACATAAACATTTTTTTATTCAGGTTTTACTGGCGATTTTTGTGAACAGAAATGTCCAAATCCATTTTATGGAAATGACTGCACTGAAACTTGCAACTGTCCAAATGTTTCTAATTTTCAGTGCCATCATGTTTATGGATGCAGATGTACCGATGGATTTAGAGGTCTAAGTTGTGAGGAACTGGATGAGCAGAAGTGATGTAATGTTTTATAAAATTATATGAAAGTAAATAAAATGTTACGCAGTTGTCTATTAATGATTAATAGACACAATCTAAAGATCACCTCCTTTTTATTTAAATGATTATAAATTAAACTTTAATTCATGCAAATTTGTGCTTTGTCCAAAAATAGTTAAACGGCAAAAAATATTCAAATTCAAAACGTGTCATTTTGGACACACTCAGCGATATTGTAACAGAATAAACAGAGAAGCATGAGACGAAGAAAACAACTTTAACTAATGATTCTCATAATGACAGCAAGTATTTGAGCGATTTCTCCAAATAATAATATCAATGAAGGCCGATGTTACATGAAGAAATTTTTTAGATAATCGTTGAGCATATGCAAACAAATGAGTGACATTGAAATTCGTAGATAATAAAGACTTTATTATAGCTGATCAAGGCGCATTTTCTGAAGTTTTTAAGTCTGATTCATTTATCATATAATATCAAATTTTTGAAAGCAGTATAAATTATTCTTTGAGAACCATACAAATTATTTTATAAACCGTACAAATTTTTATTAAAGGAACTAAATTCAAAAATAAAAAAATACGTTATTTATGAAAACATTTTAATGGCAAGATCCAGTGAATCTAAAAACTCAAATATTTACTTCATTAAGGTTGCTAGCCACACGATAAAACAAAGTGAGCCTCACTATCATGCTCATGTTCTTAAAGAAAATGTGCTAAGCAGTTCCAAAGCCCTGAAAGCCCGGCAATATTCAATAACAACTTTTTATCTTTTATAAACAAAAAAACTGAAAAACAATTTCTTAATTTTTTGTGTCATTAATTAACTGATTCAAATTCTGTTTGCATAAAACTGTCACAATGGATGAATTTGTCAAGAACATGCCGAAAATTGTAAGAATCACGTGACAGAAATAACAAAAAAATCATAAGATTAGTTAAATTTTGTATTTTTGGCAGGAATTGCATGCTCATCTCAATGGAAGCTTAAGTAATTCGACACTTTGCAAGTTGATCGAGTTGAAGAAAAAGAATCAGGGTAGTGCAGAAGAAAATATGGCATTTTACCACACTTTTGATGCGGATGAATCGTTGGAGAAATGCTTTGAGAAATTTAAGCTTGCCCATGATTTAGTCAACAGTAAAGAGGCCGTCAAATTAGCTTTATGTTGCGTGATTGACGAATTTTCAAAAGAAAATGTTATATACCTGGAGATTCGTAGTGCTCCAAGATCGACAGCATTTATGTCAAAAGAAGAATATCTTCAGGCAGTCATTGATCAAATCATGTAAGACACGATCACACCTTTTGATATGCATGTTTATTGTCACATTTTGTTCACATGCTACTGCTCTAATCTATCAAAAGTGACAGAAGTGAAACTCTCTTTTTAAATTTTACAATTTTTTTTAATCCATCGATTTAAATCCGTTGGATTAAAAATGAATCCGGTAGATTTAGGTTTAAGAATTAAATTAATTTACAGATTATGTCAAGAATCTCATCCAACTATCATGGTCAAGTACATACCATCGATTAATATCTCATATGGAACTAAAGAAGCTGAAGAGAATTATAAGCTGTTCTATGAATTCCGTAATAAATATCCAGATCTGATTTGTGGCATGGACTTAAGTGGTGATCCAATAAAGGGCAAGTTTTCAGACGTAAAAAAAGTCTTTGATCAAGCTCGAGCAGATGGATTTCGTTTTGCTATTCATTGTGCTGAGTCGTTGGATGAAAACGAGATTCTTGAAAAATTAGAATTCATGGCATCTGGCGATAGAATTGGACATGGAACGTTTATCGAAGGTAATTATGTATTCATCGCATGCTGACTAATTTTACACTTTTTTTTGCTATCGTCTGAAGAATTTTTTTTTTGTCATGTCCATTCATTCATAAAAGCTTATTCTTGTTTTTTAATGATTCAGAATCGAATACGGAAATTTGGAACTTATTTACGTCAAAGCATCTCCCTATTGAGTTATGTCTAACATCAAATGTTTTATGCCAGAGTGTCAAGAAATACGAAGATCATCACATTTCACGATTCATACGAAAATATCCAGTAATGATCTGTGTAAGTCAACAGCATGAACATTTTTTTCTCACTTATCTCATTCCAATAGCAATAAAAAAGCACGAATTGGATGAAAATGAGAGAAATGAGAAATAACAATTGACCACATTCACTTTCAATATTTTCTCACAGACTGACGACTATGGCGTTTTTTCGACCAGCTTAACGCGTGAGCTTAAAATATGCGTCGATGTATTTGGCTTGACTAAAAGTGAATTAATTGATTTAACGGTGACTGCTAATAAGTATAGCTTTGCAAGGCCAGAAGAACGTCAACTGATTAGTGACAAGATCGAGGCGTTTAAAGCTGAAGCAGTTCTTGACTAGAATTTCCAGAAAATTATGCATCAGCGAAAAATACGATGAGGAAAGAAGATGTGATTTGTAATTTATGCAGGAATCAATGTCAATGCCAATAAAAAAAAGATATTTTTGTATAAAAATTTGTCGAGGATTTTCCATTTCCGGTTATAATGTCGTTCAGATTCGCAGAAAATCATTTCATTGACCACCTACAAGAGATTGTTTATAAATAAAAAAACAAGTCACTTGGGCACTCAAATCGTTGATATTTGCTCATCTTATAATGGTAATTAAGTGTAAGTTCTAACATCTTTAAATGCCACTTTGCCGACAATTTCCGTGTTCTAAGGATAATGTCATCAATGACTCTAAACTAATCAATAACGTCTTATTAGTCACAAATTACAAATGTATGATAATTTATGCATGTCTATGTATGTAAGCAAATCATAAACGAAATTTTTGTGAGCGTAAGAAATTGCTTTTTAAGCCATTCATACAATGAGACACTCTCATTTTCATAGGCAAACTTTATTTTGTGTATGTCATAAATAAGCTATTGGATAAGCTTTGTAATGGTCATTTTGGCTGTTTTCTAACAAATTTTCAATTATTAATTTGATTTTCTGGATGTTTTTAACGTTCATGGGAAGAGAAGCTTACAATTTCTCACACATATTTAATTTCTAGTCTTACATCGAGTTCATGCGTGAATTACAGAAATAATTGAATTGCTTGACAAATTTTATTTGATAGAAAAGCATTTTTAACGAATCTTATTTGAAATGCAATGACTCGACTTTACTGAACTTGCATGCTGGAAGGTGTTCGAATACTTATTTATAAGACCAACAGAAGAACATCTCGGACATAATATTATAAATAATTAAATTTCTACGTTCATTAAGTGTATTTAAAAAGAGTTCAAGATTAAACAATAGTAAAAGGTAAGTACTATCCAATAAACATGAATTTAATACAGATTGAAATCATTTAACATCAAGAAATAAAGTTTTAAGTAAGGCAATGATTTTCAGACTTTTTGAGCTTAAAAATGGACGAAATTGAAGAGCATTTTACCAGATCCGCACTTGAAATTTTGCAATTATTCGTTGACAGATTGGATGATTTGCCGAATTTGTCAACTGAATATATTAGAAATGAAATTCAATCTAGACTTAGAATTTTTCATGAACGTTTTGAACGAGGTATGACTGCTTTAGCAAATTCTGATAATATCTATGAGAATGACATGATGATTGAGGCTTTTTTCATATATATGGATGTATATTGGCAGGTTGAAAATTGTAAGAAATGTTGTAGCTAAAAGAAAGTAGCAATTTTAACTAGTTTTTGTTCTTCATTAGGTTTACTGGAACGCCAAGGACTTCCTACCGAACCTATACCTGACACCAAACTTAGACGATGAATTTATGAAATTGATCCTCAAACAAGCTTGATTCAACCAAATACAGAAGCTTAAATAATGTACCTTGACTTAATATCCGATTATGACTAATTTTTAAATAAATGCAATTTGCTCATGACCATATGCGCTTACAGCATGCAAATATCTAACAATCGAACACCAAACTTCTTTTCTTCTCAGCAAAATTAAGTTTTTTTTCTGTGATTTGCTTCCAAAAAACTTTTTTTTCTTCTTTTTCATATCCAACAACCAGTTTGTTTGAAAACGTCAATGTGATCACATCTACCTAACGTTTGTGCGCGCGACTTCATCGCGTTTCATTTCGCGATAAAAGTTCTTCCTGACAAGAAGTTTTGGGAATTTGGTTCTTAACAGTGAGAATTGAAAAAAAAAAATAAAGTCAATTCCAATGAAAAGACAAAGATCCAAATAGGATCTACTGCCAAAAAAAAATTAATTTAATACCCAAAAAATTATGAGGAATTGCAAAATGTTTAAATGGATTTTACTAGTGATCAGTGTAAATTTTGTGAATGGTTTAAGGAACAGCAGCATAACTTTAAATAATCAAAATGTGACTTTTAGTGCTTCGCTGACTGAAGCATCATTTTCAAGACATCATTTACCTTGGTTCCTTAAACTATCACCATTTTTCGACTTAACGAAAGTTCCACAAGTCAGTGAGACATGCAGACATGATTTTCAGATATTTTTGGACGCGTTAGATCGCCTGGATTTATGGGCACTTAAAAGTATTTATTTTACTAATTAGAGAAATTTTTTTTTTGAATTACAAGAAGTGATGATTAGTGCTAATTCTGTTCTGTGTAAATAATTTTAGTGCATGATGCAACTGCTAAGCTTCCATCCGGCGTGTTCAATGGTAATTTGAATCAGTACGGCGATTATGATATGTGCCTTGATGTTATTGCAAGTGAAGATGAATTTCAAGGAAAATATTGCATTGCTTATGTTCAGCCACGATCAAGAAATGGCACATTTAAGGACTTATTGAAGCTCGTTCAATCGCATGAGTTCTTTAAAAGTAATTTTGATGATGTAGGTTCCAAATGTTAAAATAATTAAGTTTATGTCTTCCTGTACCGAACAGCACATTATGACAACCATGACATATGAAAGCTACTTGTTTATTGTCATAATGTGATGCTCGATACAGGCAGCTAATATAAAGTGATGTATTGTTTATAGTGCGGCCACAGAACTCCCCGATTCTCGCATATCAATTGGGCAGTTTGCATACCATCGTCATGCAGTGCAAAAGATTTAGAGATAGGCATTAAGACATACTTGGATGAATATTCCGAAAATACCGATATTATTATAGACGTCAAGGTCGATGAGGATATGTGTCAATTGAAAAGAGAGACGAGTATTAATGCTCTGGATAAAAATACGAGACGTGTTATGTAAATATATTGCCGCTTAAATTTAAAATTCTCCAAAAAATTGGCAACTTTTTCGGTCACGTCTAATTTAAATTTTATATTTTATTGCAGAATTCTGCTCGTGACAATCCTCTTCATTTGTGCTTTAAGCACAATTTATGACATGAGAACGCAAATGCCAAAAAGTAAGAATTTTTTTTATAGTCAAGAATCAGCAAGTGGCTCATCTTATAATGCACTCATTTATTTTCAGATGAGTGGTTCACGACATTTTCACTTTCAAGAAACATACAAGAGTTACTAAACACTGATGAAAATCCAAATGATATTCAAACTGTTCATGGCATACGAATGCTTAATGCTCTCGTGCTTATGGCTACGTAAGAATTTTTTTTATTGGAAGTTTGTTTGAGCAGTGAAACTTTTGTGATTTATGGAAATTTGTGAATATTAAAAAAAAACATTTAATTTGAGATTAAATCTCGTCGCAAAGCCTTCACTACCTCATACACGTGTTCTTCCACTTGAGAATATCAAATACTCAACTTACCGTAATTCCCTTCTAATTCATAGACACAAGTCAATGAGCATTCTCTTCAATCCATTCACAAATCGTTCCGAAATGACGAAGCGTTTGGCGAATCCATTTTTATTGGTCTACGCATCAGCAGCTAGTCTGTACACAGATGTATTTCTAATGTTAAGCGGCTGTCTCACAGTTTACACTTTTTATGGGCGTTTACAAAAGGGCAAACAAGTTAAGCTTTGGCGTGAAATACTTGATCGATACTTTAGAATCATTCCGTCTGTCATCTTCCTGATTCTATTTTGTACCTTTGTGTTACCGCTGCTTGGATCAGGTCCAATGTGGAATTTAGTTGTGACATCACATGCTGAGATTTGTAAGAAATATTGGTGGAGAAATATGCTGTTCGTCCAGAATTGGTTTGGTTACAATTCAATTTGTTTGACAAACACACATCATGTTGGAATTGACATGCAACTTTTCGTTGCGGCAACAATATTGACACCAATTTTATACAAGTATCCAAAGAGAGGTCTTCAACTTATTATAGGACTTGCACTCTTATCGACAATTGCTCGATTTTATGTAACCATCATTCATGAGTTATCAATCCACATCTTTTTCGGCATTTCATTACAAAAGATTGCTGAAGTTGCTGACCGAATGTACATCATACCACCATTTAGATTTACTGTTTATTCAATGGGAATGCTTCTTGGATATATTCTTAGAAAACATAAGAATTACATTCCAAGTGACAAAATAGTTCGTCTTGGATGGTCAACAGCGTTCCTATCATTTGTGATTACTTCCATTGCATCAATTCGTCTAAATTTTCCAGATCATGTTTATAATAAATTAGAGTCTGGAGTTTATGCAGCTTTTGCACCTGCAGGCTGGTGTCTATTTTCAGCATGGATTATTTATATCTCTGAGAAGGGGTCCAAGAGTAAGTTAATTACCTTGAATAGAATAAAATATTAATTGCTGCAGATTAGCAATCAGGAACCGGTTTAATTCTGGATTTTTTTTTGAACTTGAAACTTTTATGCTGTTCAAAAACAATCGGAATTCAATAAAAATTCTCTTTTATTTCCTCAGGTCCGATTGTGCAAATCTTTAGATTAAAAGTTCAAAGATTCTTTACCAAAATCGCCTTTGCTGTGTATCTTACGCAGTTTCCTATATTCTTCTACAATGTCGGTAAGGTGCGGAACGCAGAATATTTCGAGTTTTGGAAAGTTATGGTGAGTTGCTGCATCCTTCTTATAATCATTAATTTTTTTGTTATTCTGATAATCATTTGCATATGTTATGGATGTTATTTGAATTTGGGGATTTTTCTTTAAATTTTGGCTTGATTCAATAAATCTTAAAATGCAAATGAGCCATTTGCTGCATCTTAGTTAAGAATTTGCATAGTCCAAAATTCGAGTCTGCATGACCTTCGATGTGTCGTGAATATTTTACAAAAGTACATAACCCATTAGTGAAACACGATACTTATTATCATTTTTAATTTTGCTGACTCAAAATATTTCGAGCATTAGATTGTCATGATAATTACCTAAAATTTGCATTGAAATAGTTTTGTTTCGTGAGATTCACGATTACCATTTAGATGATAATGATTAATAATGAGTAGATTCGTCTATATTTTGAGTTCCTGTCAATTAGCAATTCTTAAAATGATTTAAAATATTTTTTTATTGACAGAATAACTTACAAACGTGCAGTTCAGGTTTAAATGCAATAAAAAAATTTTTTTTGGAGATAATTGATTCGGAATCGATAATGGAAATTTTATATGACTTTTATCAAGTTTAATTTGCATTTTTAAATGCGCAACTTTGTGGTCTTCGAAATCAGTTTGTTAAAAAACTTGGATTTTTTTTTACCTTAAAAACGAAAGGTTTCTTGCTAATGGATCTATAAATATAACATCATTAGAAGATGCATTTCATTGATGTTTTGACTTTCAAATGTATCATGCTTTGCATCTACTTGGGAAGCTTTTCAGTTGAGCGTATACTCAATGGTTTTGGTAACTTGTTTCTGAATTCTAAAGATTCAGATTTGTTGAGTCAACTTCTAGTTCTGATTAGCTTAGTTTAGGACTTCAAAGTATTGTAATAATAAATCAAAACCTTCAATCATGAACCTTTTAGCAACCATTTAATCCTTCAACTTGAAACGCGCTCATGAAATTTCGGAAGGAAATGCCAATAAAATCTTAAACTCATCAATCATATGTTACGCATCTAAGTAGTTAGCCGGCAAAGGTTTTATTACAACAACCTTGAAGGAACGCTCATAATTTTTCATATTTTTTTGTCACAGATTTATATGATCAAGCATAAAGTTTATGGCTCCGTTAGATCTCTATTGTCTATTAAAAGAAGTATTAGAATTCCGAAAAGAATCACAAGAACTCAATAAACACAAGCAGATTGGTTGAATATCCGCTTAGCTATTTGAGTAAATATTGTCCCATAAAATGTTCAACAACGAAGCTGCACGTGAATAACAATAATTAAATTTATTGACATAAAATAAATATACAGCGATAGGTTCTTGAGTTGCACACAAAAAAAAAGAATGTCTGTGATGATATTTCGCAGTTAAAATAGAATCTGATGAATAACTCATTAGCATGTTGACTTTCAATTATTATTAATGTCCAATAAATTAGATTAATACATACTCAAGACTATTGAACTGAATTGCAGCTCTCATTCATATGATTAGACTCAATTGAAAAGTGAGGAACAATCGATTGTTTAAGAAAAAGTGTGAATCAATTGACTCAAATTGCCAATCTCATAAAAATATCAATTCTCTTTTTTTATCTTTACAGTATAACGTGGAAGAGCTTACTACAATTTTCGTATGTTCGGTTATTTTGCATTTATTGATTGAAGCACCATTCAACAACATTCGAAAACTTATATTCGACAAAAAAGTGGTTACAGTGAAGAAGGTTGACTAATTGATGCCATATTCCTGCCGATTTATTTCTCGGTTCCTCAAAACAATTTAAATATTGGGAATCTGTCCGAGAAATCTGTACGTGTATATAATATTTCTAAGTTTTATTAGTTTTTAAACATTCTAAGTCATTAGAAGAGTTCTGCTGTGTATGATGATTATATAAATATATAATCTTTTGTTTTACATAAGACAATCACCAATAAATTAAACAACTCTAGGCTTTAAGACTTATTTAACGAAAGAAGGGGTGCATTGATGGGATTTTGAAGTTTTCGGTCAAGATTTTGCATTTTTGAAGGTTATTTAAGCATCATTGATAAAACTTAACGTGTAGCTTAATAATTCTAAAAACCTGTATCTTAAAATGCAACATCTTGTATTAAATTTTTAACATCAGGCCCCTCTCTTTGATATTTAAATTTTTTTGCGTTCTTTTTTTCGAAAAGGCAAGAAATACGTAGATTAATATTAGCATAGGAATCATCTAAAAACTATTCTCATTTATAGAGGATATACTGATACAGCGACAAATGTTTGATTAGATAAATCATAAGTTTTATACATCTATAACTTACTATAAGATATATACACAAATACTTATGAAGAAGGAACATCTCTTAGCAGATATTGCTAATTTAAATAACTGATCAGTCACGATAATTTTTTATACGAAGAACATTTCTTTCTATTGCTGTTATTGCTAAAAATTTGAACGTGTCATTTTTGGCAAATATTTCAATAAATGAATGTGGAGTCGTTCACAAATGATGTTTATGACATGTGAAACAATAGTTAATCAGTTCAGCATCTCTGGTTTAAAATTTAAATTTCAAAAAAATAAGAATTCTTCTCCACTAAAGGGTAGACATCATTAGTGAACGTCTCGCATATGACAATGTATATAAAAGATTTTTGGAAGGAGATAAAAGAATAAAAAATTCAAAATTCTATGAGAATGATAAAAAATGACTTTCTGCTGGTTTAAAATTCACGGATATCTTCTTTCCATTTTCAGAATTAAATTATTTTGCAGGTGAGATTAGAATGTCTGTGACACATCGTTGTTCTTAGAATTCACATGGTAAATTTGTCATTTTGTACATGAAGCAGTAATTAGTAACTTTGTACATTTATATAAACCGTGCGTTATGACTAAACTTATTTTTAACTACTTATCATCACTCATCAGTGCCAAAGTTTAAAAATTGCGAAACAAAAACTTACCTTGATTACACTTCAAAAAAAAAAGTTTTTAATTCAAATTACAAATTTTTTTGCTGATTCGCATATCTGATGAAAGCCTTTGTTTTGCTGCTATATAGATATTAGATAATTTTAAAATATTCGATTGACTTCATGATTCCTAATATTCAAAATGAAACAGAGACACACAAAAAATCAACTTATGATAAATATAAACGGCCTACTTTTTGCTTTGATAGTTTTATGTTTCGCTTATCTAAAGCAGGGTTGATAAACTCTCGGTTGTAGGTGATTGGTATGCAAAAATGTGGATCCTCCTGATGAAATTCAGGTGTAAGTTTACAAATGAAGTCCGATTTCTTTGCAGGTAGGATAAGTTTAATCCTATAACTGTTGTGAGAGCCTAGCGTCAGTTTCAGGAGCTGCTATTTTGAGTGCGATAAAGGCACAATGGTTGATTTTATAAATTTTAAGTTGATGTCTATTTCGAATTAAGGATTCCAAATAGGTTCAATCAACAAAACTAGTAATTCAGGTAAAACATTCAGTAGGTCATTCATCTTCATCACAACCCTGTCTTAATATACAAAATAATTTGCATTACAAGGAGTAATATCTCAACCAGGTGTACAAAATGCCAGCAAAAGACTTTAAACCTTTCCAATAAAAATATTCTTCATATTAAGTTAAAGCATCTCGCTACACAGGTGAAAATATCTTTTTCTCCAAAATTTGCATTTTTTTATAGAAGCAGCAAAAAATCAGAACCGGCAAACTCGTTTTGATATTTTGAAAATGTAAAAAATATTTGTTTTAGCATTTTAAAGAAGAAATGTGCGAGAATCAACCGATGAAACGTGATCAATATTATCATATTAATCTTTTTTTCTACCTCTCTTCTTCGCCTCTAGCTTTACTTACTTATTATGAAAACGTGAAACTGAAAGTGGATGTTACACAACGATGTAAAAAATGTGGAAATGATTTTTAAATATCCAGCCTTTATTGAATGATGGCAGTAAAAATCAGAATATGTACCTATTTTCTATTTACCTAATAAACTACTAAGGCATTTGACACATTAAATATGTTGATGAGAGACATAACAAGTGGGGAAGTAAGACGTAAGCATGCACATGCTTACTGTTTGTCATAATTTCACACTGTTTTGCTCGTTAATTTATAAGATTTATTTTGTTTTCGTCTCAAGTTCATGGATTCATGTAGTTACGGACATTTAAATTCATAGAACAAAATAAGTCATGTCTTAACGATCAAGTGCTTATGAATACATAATTTGATTAAAAGAATTACCTAAACTTAATTAAAAATTCGTTCGCAATCGATAAATATTTTGGGTTTAATTCCATTTTTTTTAATTTAAAATTCAAAAGCTGATATTCGTTAGAAAAAGGTGGAAAGACTTCAAGTTTGTTCTATGTTTTGTGACTCCACGTTTTATAAATACCACATTCCGGTTGAAATAAGTCGTAAATTGTGAATTTTCGAATCAAAAACTATGAAAGCAGTCTTCAGCACGTGGGAAAGAACATTTTGGTGATATCAGATAGTAGATTGGTAACTCTTACGTTAGCAAATAACGTCTATTAAGCTATTCTTGGATATAAATTATAATTTTATTCTAGACGTCACAAACATCCGATGCTTTGGTATTTTTTTGGTGTTTATCGCAAAGTTATAACTGTGGATTTTCCAATTCTTTTTTATTTTAATTTTGCATTTATTGCCTGTTTGAGTCAATTTCGCCAACTTCAAACCATCATTTTCGGATCTCAAAATGAAAGATTTTGGATTGAAAAGGCACTTGACTGATTAATCTTTAACAACCATCACTAATTTGCCGAAAAAAATAAAAAGATAATTTTGAAGCATTTTCACTTTCAATAACAGAAAGTTGATCCTTTAAACATTCAATTTAGCCGACTGAATATCTAATAATAAACGCCTACTAGCTACTTAAATTACTTCAAAATATGCATGCAGCACTTAAACATGATCAGCCGTTACTACTTAATATCCTCTTAGCAATTAGTTTTTAATTGTAAAGTCATTTTTCAATTTGTTCAGATACACCTGAGCAGTAAATGAAATAAATTGACCGTACATAATTATTTGATGGAACAGGTTGACTAAATTGATGATAATATTTTATTCAGAAGCCTTATCAAATACTTTAAATTTTTGGCATGTTTCAAAAACTAGTTAAGAAGCTGTTCTTATGCTAATCAGGTCTTTTACGGTATGTTAAAAATTTAAGAAGAAAAGCTTTTGCGATTTAATTAAAAAACCGGCAATAAAAGTCAAAAGAATCACGTAGAAAATACATTTTGACTTGATAATACAATTATCTCTCGACATGCTTGTTAAATCTCAGTTTTAAATTATCTAATCCAATTTCCGTTCATCTCAGGACCATCAGTGGATTAGATAATCTGATTATTAGATATTAAGGCATTGATAATAAAGTGTGAAATAATTAAATCCATGAGCACCATGATTCGTGTAGGAAAAATCCATGATATGTCATGTAGAGGAAACCCCAAGGCAGGTAAGTGTCCAAAAATAGATTCTTAAAGTTTTCCTGTCAAGAAAAAAAACTTGAAATGGCAAAAAAATCCAAGGAAATTTGATTCCAAAATGTTAATAACAAATTTATCATGCTTTGTGAAGAAGATGCAAATGCGATGGACTGCATTAGAATATATTAAAACCAATAAATCTGCAAAAATACAGCAGTATCCAAAGTTAAATGTTAAAAATTTGACTAATACTGCAATAAAATAAAGCATTCAAATGTTTTGACTGTTTCTATAAATTTTCGTTTTTATTCATCAGTTTTTTTTCTCACAATTTTTTAGTCTACAGTATAAAATATCTCTTTCACAAATAGAATATATAGATCTATATAGCAAAAAGCTCTATTATTTATTAAATATCTTCAATCTTATAATTGTTTTAAAGCTACAGAATATTAGAGAGACAAAATATTAGTCATTTATATTAAAAGAGAGTATACTTTTGGGAAGAATGTTCAGTTAGTTTATAAGGCACAGAACGAGATTTATAAAATCTGCATAAATATTTCTGCAGAATGTTGATAATAAAGAAAAATTGAGAAGAGATAGCAGTTAATGGAAGAATAAAGTTGTCAGATTGGTTTTCAAATGCTTACGACACAAGTTCATGGAACCTTAAATATTTTTTTGCAGCAAACATATTGCTTTACAACCTACAAGGTTTCTTGTACATCTTCTTTATAAAATATTTGTATATATATTCAACTTATAGAAATATGTATATCTCGTATAATTTTATGTTGTCACAACTCCTCGTAAATTGTGTTAAGTTTTAATTTGTCACTGAGTTTAAATCCAAATCCCAGTCTGGATCAAGTTCATCGAAGCATTCTTGAAGCGTCTTTTCAGGATTCATATTTTGCATTTTACATAATTTAATTGCTTTTTGTAAGTCCCAATTAATAAAGTTTAGAGTGTCTAAGCATCTTTCCAATGTTACCTGTATATGAATTGAGAAAAAAAAAAAATTAACGACATGTGATCTGCAGTTGTTCGGTTAAAAAATTAATCACATGAATGTTAAGTAAATAATTGCACCTTTTAGTTCCCGAAATAGATGGCAATAAGGTAGATTTACGATGCGTTAATATGAATAATAAACATTTAACTAACCTTGGTTCCAAACATTTTTCTTAATATGCGCGCCTCGTCAGAATCTAACCCTCTTGCGGCCCCTAATGGTTTTTTATCGGAAAAGTCAAGCAAGTCTTCACAACTAACATGATTTATTGATCTTTTCAATTCACATGGACTATTACCTCCGCTGTTATCTTGATTTTCCATTTCTAATTCAATTTCACATTCGTCGCTATTTGCTGCCATTTCGACGGATTCTTTGATTTTATTGAATAATGCATTGCTGGCAAGTTCATTCTTGGGCATTTTGTATTTTGGAAATTTTTGACTAAATTCATTCTTCTTCGATTCAATTGACGAAGTCGATACTGAAAATGGTTTTCTTTCCACTCGCTTGAATGGAAATGATGAGCTGCTATTACAATGATTGTTAATGACTTTACTGGCACAATTATTTCTACTGCTAGCTTTATTATTGTTATTACCACTATTTTCACTTTCAAATAATCCAAATCCATCGACCATATCGTCAGAGATTTGAGCGTCATTGACAACATTTTCATCTTCTAATATAGATTCGAAATGAAGTGACGCTGTGTCTGACTGCTCATGACTCGAAAATCTCTTTTGAAAATCCTCAATGTTTTGATACGTTCTCGCTTCATTTGTGACAGACGATGGCATTCGAAGATCTTGAAATGATGTTGATGGAAAATTATTTTCGATGAAATCTTTCGTGTAGTTTTTTTCAAGACCTTTTATCATGCCATAATTATTGACATTTTCTTCAAATTCCTGTGAGATTTTCGTGTCTTTCTTCAAATTTTCAAAGACATCATCATCATCGTCATCATCGTTATTGATGTCATAACTTGTGTTTACAGTGGAAGATGTTGTTGGTGCTTTAAAATTACTTGCTTCCGTAAAAATTTCACTTTTGTCTTCAACTGGTGTTATTTGATTAACTTTATCTAATGTTCGTTGTGTTGCTGATGCGGGGATTATTAATGGATATTTACGAACGTGACGCTTTTGAGCAATATTCAATTGTAATGTACTTCGATCTCGTGGTGGTAATGGAAG